CGCCAAGTGAGGAAATGTTTATGTATTAGATATACACTTATTAATGCTAATAGCGTTCAAGGGCGCAAATAGTAAGATTGATCGTTTATTTTATTTGCTTACTTATTTCTCAGTATTTGTACTGTAATTTTATAACCCGTTTTTACGTCACATGGCATTTACGAGCATGTTAGTAGATATTTTCAATTGTGCAATATATCTTTTAAGTTATTGTTTTGTCATTTAAAATTAAATTAAAATAAATAAGGTAGTATAAATAATTTCTCATTCGATTTTTATTAAAAAATAATAATAAAAGGACATGCGATTGTTTATGAGCCCTATTTTATATATATATATATATATATATATATATATATATTATATATTACCTGTGAAAGTAGAGAACGAGTGCAAATCATAACGCTACAACGTGTTATCGCTAATGTAGTAATACGTGTACTAATTCTAACACCTAAATAGTATTATTAGTGGCTTCAAAGTTAAGTGAAATGCATGTACTTGGACTACTGACTATATTGACCTCAAAATCAAACGCTTAAAATATATTTTAAGCCCTCGCCCTTCTTGTTGTTGTTCTATTGGTTAAATTGATCAATTCCGTAGAGTATTTGTAAACCATAACGGTGGTGAAGGGCTGGTGAGAACCGTAGTAATTTTTGACCGACTTCAATGAGACATTTTTTGCCGAGTGCGATATCACCAATTAATATAATACTTTATTTAAAAAATGTTTTAAGTGAATTTGATATCCGTATACATATTTAGATAAAAGTAAGTATATAAATTACAGGTATAATAATAAGTATACTACGAGGAATAATGTAATGTAACAAGTAAATAAAGGACTAAAAATTGATCGATGTGTTTGACGTGGATTAATTATATGGGGCAATAAAAATTAATGTTGTTTGCACGAATTATATTAGCGTTTTGTAACTAGTAATACTATATAGTGGTTGTTAGCGCAACGACGGATCGACAGGTTTTTTTTCATAGAGCTAGGCTATATGTAGAGTTCGTAGCGCTAGCACTTTGTCCCCTCTGGTTATCCTGTTATCCTTCAAGACATATAGCTTGTGCCAAGGTTTATATGTATCCTGCATGGATAGTGATATATTATGCTACTTTTAATCCCAAACAATAATATTTTAATCAAAATCTTACTAAGTTTTCTCAATTATTTAATCAAAGTGAAATGTGTTAGTTATTTGATACAGTCCAAAGTAAAAGCACTTAAAATTGAATAGTGAAGTCTTATTTAACGCTATATCAAAGTTCATCATACATGATACATTTTATAGTTCATATATATATATATATATATATATATATATATATATATATATATATATATATATATTCAAATTTTAAAAAATTAAACGTGTGTGGACGGTTTTATTCGCCATGTGTGTCCTCTTATTGACACGGGACTAATTAAATATTTCCTTTTATGTCCGTCACAACGGATGTTACTGTTAATTTAATATAGGTTTGTTTTTATGCTATTCGAATTATATTAAAGGAATGGTGTTTTATTAATTTTCTCTAAAACAACTAGCTCATTACGTTTAGTTATTAAAATGATAAAACAAAAGGTTTGAGTGTTCATAAAATAATTTAATATGCCCAGCTGTGGGACGTTAAAAAGTGCTGAATACAAAATCATTTGGTAATTTTACAGTTCCTAAATGCACTTTGAGATGTTAAAGTCTCGGCTCCTAAACAAAAATTAGTGAGTAGTCTTTCGAGACATGACATAAGCTACAGCTCAAACCAAGTTACCTTGCCATGAGTCATGGGTGACCAGCAGATGCTTTTCAAACAAGTGATATGATAATATCATATCTTGTATAAGCGCCATACACAAACATACCGAACTAGTAGAATATACTAAGTGTTTTAGCTCTTATTGCATTCGATTTTAAACCTAAAATGGTTTGTTATTTTTTCGTACCTTAAAACAACAGTTCATTTGCTATTTATCATTGCTGCCATCGTAATCCTTGAGCGTCAGATAAACTGATAACGTGTGATAACAGTGACCAAATCAAACGATGTATTTGCATATTTTGCTAGATGACCTTTAATGTTGTTCCCAAAGTGTTGATTTCCCAAAAATATTAATACTATTAATATTTTTCTGTTATTTTTGTTTTGATTTTATTGCATTTATTTATTAGAGTTTATTAATAAAATATATGTAAAACGTATTCAATTTTGCTTTATAATAGTTTAATTATGCATAATGATCAATTAAAATACCGTTTATCAGTTAGAAAAATTGTAATAGGTACATACATACATAAAATATACGATGCGGAATGAAATGATAACAACGCGGCAGCGATATCCACCGCATGCGAGCGCGTCGGTGATCGATTTATATAAAATTGCCAAGTAAGCTTTTTACCCCTATTTACTAAAGTGAACCGTTTTGATTCAGACATGTCGTGACGAATGAACACACAAGACTATATAACTAGTATATCAGTATCGTAGTATTGCGGCCGGTCTGCTACACGCGTATATTAATACGTTCCATAGAGTCTCATAGTATACCGTTACGTTGGAACGGCCGTATCCTTACATTTTAATTTGATATTTTCAGCTTCCATACGATATCCTAAAGTATCTTATTTCGATAGTAATAAGATACGTAAGAAAATCACTTGCTACAAGCAAATGGCTATCGCTTAAAGACGGTTTTTTATTTATAAAACACATTTTAAGTTAATAATCACTACTAGCATTAGGCTACAAAAATTATGTAATTATATTTTGTAATTTCAATGGATAAATGTAATATTATGTTGGAAAAATTGTATAAACAAACTCACTCTACTTATATATGATAATGGCAGAAAAATCCAAATTTTAAGCTTCCGGTCGTTTGCGATCAAGTAATCCGTGTGAAAGACGGTTAAGTCTTTCTTAGCGTTTTAAATTCCATCTCGTATCTTCTTTAATGACGGACTTTCACGATTGTTTCGCTGTATCAGATCGAATGAATGCCATACATAATTCTTCTAACTTTCTTAAGCTTTAGGCATTTTATTATATGACTGAAATATTATAACGAGATTAACAAAAGTATTTTAATATATAATATAAAAACATAACATTATTACATTTATAATTTATATAGTTTTTTTTTATGTATTAATATTTATTAAAGAATTTTTACTGTTGACCCGATCCATCAAAGCCCATATAATTTTGGTTTAGGAGGTATAGAAGGCATATTTCGGCTATTTCGGAAGTAAAGCTAAAAATGTATAGCTTACCGATCAATCTCCCTCGTGTCTTCTCCATTCTACGTGACATTGGCGAAGTAATCTATGCTCAACGCTTTGAAGCCATTAACAAGAGAATTGAATTGAACGTGTTACTTGTATAGCCATTCTTATTATACAAAATATTGTAATATTAATTAATAACTATGTTTCTGAATTAATAACGTGTAGACTTTTTTAGTTTGTATGATATTCGATTAGCATTTTCTGGATCTTGGCATATAATTTACACACGCATTGGTGCGTAAGTGTCCTTAATGTTAATGCTGTGTTGCATAGAGCTTATATTTCATTTAGAAAGGCTACTGTGTGCAATCAATTCAATTCATTCCACAGCGTGTCAAGGACGGCCAGAAGACTGTTTTTCCACTAAATTGACTACTTCCTATTAAACCCCAAATAATAGTATTACTTATAACTTTAAATTACAAATATTTTACTGGCAATATTTTACCTACTTGCATAGTCCTTCCAATAAAAATATTATACTCTATGTTACGTTGCGTATTACTGTCACGCGCGACATTCTCGTAACAGACGGGGCGACGCCAGACGGCAGGCGGGTGCGAGTGCCGTTAAAATTGCATGTGTGACTCCTGCAAGACTGGTTACAACGAGGTTACACTTGAAAGATATCTATTAGAACCACTTAATCCAAGGATATGTTTGTAATTCCATTTTAACATTAAAAAGTATGTCATTTAAAGGAAAATTGCCTAAAAAACCTTCAGTTTGGTCATTATCGACGGTCATTGCTATACTAGTACTCGTACATACTCTACATAGTAACATAAAGAAAATCTTTCAGTTTGCCAAATTGGTTGATATTCAAAAAGATATTTCTGTATTTCTATGTAGCGCAATGTAAAGATATTTTGTTAAAGACATGTTTCTTTAAAAAATGACGCTTGTATCTTAAAATAGAACGAAAGAGAAAGCGCACAATAGTTGCAAAAATAAACTAGCTAATTGCTATAATTTCCTGTGTGCTTTTGATTCATAACATCAGCTAATGTAGACATCAAAACGATAATTAGATTGAATAGAAATTGGATTAAATAACGCTTACAATAGCAATACATTGATTATTATTATAGTTACAATAGGTACAATAGACGAAACGGTGACCGATATGGCGCATTGGAACAAGATACTTTTGATACAATCTATCGTAACGATGACTGCGGGATCGAACCCGTGCGAAGCAAATTTTTATCTGAATTTAGATCAATACAAATTTATATCTTTTCCAGAGTAAATCAAAGTGCATCGTCTATACATATAATAAAATTGTAACTAAGTCGAATCTGTACATTAAATATTTTTTTGGAAAATCTTATTGAAATAAACATTATTATCGATACAGAGGTCGAATCTATAGTTTTTAGAATTTTTGTCTGTCTGTTACCGCATCACAAGAAAACCACTGAAGGGATTTTGATGAAATTTGGTGGTGATAGCTGGTTATCCGGGTCAACATATAGGATACTTTTTACCGCTTTTTAAATACAAAAACTGCAATGTAAGAGTATATTAATATGTAAAACCTAAGAATTTGGTTTTTGGTCATATGAACGCGGGCGGAGCCGCGGGCAGTGCTAGTTAGTAATAATTGTTACCTAGCACTTTTATATGTATATTGTAAAACTATTTTTTTTTAAATATTGTTATACTTAATATATTTTATTATCTACTTGTCCTTAGACTGGCTCAGGCAAAACCTACACAATGGGGAGTGGGTGGGAAGGGGAAGACGTAGGGGAAGATAAAAGAGGAATTATCCCTAGAGCGATACGTGACCTCTTTGCCGGCGCCGACGAAAGGGCTGAAGCAGCAAGGTCACAAGGACAGCTACCCCCAGAATTTTCAGTACAAGCTCAATTTATAGAACTATACAATGAAGACATAGTAGATTTACTAGATCCAGCCAAAGATCCATTTGCAAAGGTTGGTATATTTTAGATTTATTTTATAAAAGTTAAAATGCTCTTTGTTTTCTTTACCAAAGACCAAAACTATCGAATTTTGTACGTACATACATATATTATAAGTGCTTTACCATAAAGTTCCGAAGCCGGGCTTTTAATCTTCGTCCAGTTAATAGGACGAAGATTAAAAGAGCAAAGGTGGCATTATCACAAGGTCATTTACTACCAGACTCGTCTTCATTGACGGTTCAATGAACCGTATATCTGGTGACCTGTTTAATTATATCAATTGATTTCTTTCGCTCTCCAATTATTAAAAGCCTATGCAATTTGTTCAATGTATCTATTATAAGTAAATGTGAGTTTCTCGTCGAGAAGTTTCTCATTAACGATTTTCTATAAGCTTTGTATATTCTTATATTAGTTTTTGTTCAAGTATGATAAAACTAATGAAGGCCAAAGAATCGAAGGTACCAATAACACGCAACACTTAGCAAGTTAAACGCGAAAAAAATGTGAACATAATATTCTTGCTATTGCTATTAACATAATATAGAATCATCAACATAACTGGTTGAATAATAATAAACTGAATAAAACTTCTTAATACGCATTTTTTTTTATTTTAGGGCACTTTAAGGATAACGGAGGATGGATGTGGTGGAGTCCGTATCGTTGGGGCATCTATGCGTGCAGTGCGGGGCGTTAAAGAAGCCCTAGGTGCTCTTCGCGCTGGCGCCCTAGCCCGTACCACAGCTGCCACTAACATGAACTCCTCGTCTTCTCGATCCCACGCTGTATTTACACTTTTACTCAGACAAAGAAGGCTAGCGCCTGACCAAGATTCGGTAGACAGAGAGGCGGATGGGGAAACCCCCGAACAATATGAGACGTTAACTGCCAAATTTCATTTCGTTGATTTAGCTGGATCAGAACGACTTAAACGAACTGGTATGTACCAAATAGCGCGAAAAACATGTAGACGATCATAAGTCTGTATTTCTGATTAGGTTGAGGAACTTTGCCACAATTTATATAACTGAATATTCATAATTGAAGAAGAGAAATGTATCAAAGTTTACCCACTAGATTTCTACAAGATTTTAAAATACTGACATTTTTTTTTCTAGGTGCTACCGGGGAACGAGCTCGTGAAGGAATATCGATAAATTGTGGTTTATTAGCGTTAGGTAATGTGATATCGGCATTAGGTGACAAATCACGCAAAGTTTTACACGTTCCGTATCGGGACTCTAAGTTGACGAGGCTATTACAAGATTCATTAGGAGGTGAGCAAACAATAGGAACATTAATTTTATATGACCAAAAATTTAAAGATTTTCAGCATGAGATGTGTCCACATTTATTCAGTATACGACTTGCTAGCTTGTTATGACCCTAACCCGGTTTTTTAGGGAAACATATGTCTTTAATTTAGGCCACTATTTATTTCTTAACACCTCCTGATAAATTTCTAAGAAATTAATACAAATTCTAAGTAATCTATTGTTAATTGACACGCCCGCGTGTCCGCGGTCGTGGAGGGATTAAAAAGATCCATTGATAAGTCTAATCGCTCTCGAGAAATCTAAGACAATTCTACAAAAACATCAAAAAACAGTCCGTAAACAAAAATAATATTCAATTTCAAAATTCTTGACCAGGTAATAGCAACACAGTGATGATAGCATGCGTGTCGCCGAGTGATAGAGATTTTATGGAGACACTAAACACACTTAAGTATGCAAATCGAGCCCGTAACATCAAGAACAGGTGTGTCGTGAACCAAGATCTGACTTCGAGAACTATTAGCCAACTCCGACATGAGGTGGCACGACTGCAGCTTGAGCTGGCCGAATATAAACAGGTACGTTGATATGTCTATAGTTTCCTGAATCCACGTTTTAGATTATTTTGAAAGGTTTGGCATTTATGGCACCTGAAACTTTGTAGATAGGTGAATTAAATGAGAAATATATATTTTACAATATGTCATATAACCAAAATAGTTGTATTTATTAAAATAATAGTAAACATTAAAATCCATACTAATATTAATATTATAAATGTGAAAGTAACTCTTGTCTGTCTGTCTGTATGTTACCTTTTTACGTTTAATCTGTTGAACCGATTTAGATGAAATTTGGTATGGAGATAGTTTGAGACCTTGGAAAGGACATAGAATCATTTATATTTCGGAAATCATCCATTAAGGGGGTGGAAAGGAGGGTGGAAGTTATTATTCGGAATCAATAATTTCTCATGGAAGGGATATAATTTTCTTTATTTTAAAAATAATTACCAATTTCATATAAATTATAATAAATCAATTATATGTAGTCAATCTATTCCATACTAACCGTTAAGACGTACTGAGCGAAGCGAGGATGAGTCACTATAGTATGTACATAAATCTACTTGTCAAAGAAAAAACATAGAGAGATATTCAGTAACTACTTTATATAGTAACTCAACAGTTAAAATATAGGTATCAATTTATTATTACTTTTTCTAATAGGGCAAAAGGGTTGTATCAGAAAATGGTGAAGAGGGCTGGAGCGACGTCGTCCAAGAGAACGCCATACTGAACGCAGAAGTAGAGTCGCTTAGACGGAGAGCGAAAGCGATGCAGGGTACGATAGATCAACTTTCCGCTAGAAATAGTGAACTGATAGCGGAGAAGGCTTTAGGCAATTGGGCTCCAAAAGATGGCAGTCCCGATGCTACGGATTGCTCTTTAACTGCTTTAGTTCAGGTAAGATCTGAATATAATTGGTAGCGGTCAAACGTCGATTTAGACTTAGAATTCACCGCGAGAGACGCGAGTGTAGAGTGAGGTCTCTATAAATGTCAAATCTCAAACGTTTACTGTTTGCGAGCTTTCATCGCGCCTTTTCACTAACTTATTCATGATTATTGTAAAGACTGTGCCATTTCTGATTAAATATGATAAATATCCCAATATCTCATTACAGCTTAATAAATGTTAGTGCTTTAAAAAGTTAAGAAAAAGGGCAGTATTTTATCTATTTGGTTATTTTTTTTAAATGAAATTAAAATAATTATTCTTTTATTCGCCTACCCCACTAACAAATACTTTTTCAACGACAACACTAGGACCTAACTCGTCAGTGGCGTCAACTGGTGCCGCCAGAAACCATAGCCCACGTTCTAGGTCAAGTTGCAATACAATTGTTAGTTGAATTATATTCTAAATATATTTTATAAAGTAAGCTTCTTTTTCGTGGTAGAGCATAGAATCTATGGGTATAAATGTTTACAAGAAGTAGTTCAGCAAATATAATTATATCAAGAAATAAACAAAATCATTCTTATCCAGGGCTACGTAAGTGAAATAGAGGATTTACGAGCGCAACTGATGGAATCAAACGCGCTGTACGAGGCAAGCCGAAAGCGCGAAGCGCGCACACGCCACGACTCCTCCATGCTCGATGCGTCTACGATATTGGATGATGCCAAGCGGGAATTATATAAGGTAGGTGAATAATAATACGAGTAAAGTCCACATAAACCACTTTCGGTCATTTTTATGATAGCCAGTCTCAAGGAGACTAACAAAATATATATCTTTCACTTTTGCTGATTATAAAATCCATAACCAGGTTGTGAGGCCGACGGAGTCGAGATGTTTGTACGGGATTGAAAATTTCTTGTCAAAACAACAAAAATATATGTACATTTAAAAATGTATGTGGGCATAACCATATGATTTTCCGCCGTAACTTTCCTTATTATGACGACATTGAAATCTATAATCGCGAACATATGAATAAGAATACTCTCATTGGTTTCGGTGACATAAGGAAATTAACACATTTTAGATAAAAATACTCATGCGAACATTTTTTTCAATTTATATTATCTAACTTATAACTTAATCAATGGATATATGTATGTATATAGGTTTGTGTAAATTATACTGATATATAAGATTAAATTATATTTTTTGTATATGTACAAAGAAACGGCTAGTCTCCGAACATCGAATTAATTTTAAGGGGTTTTTGAACAGAGGTTTAACGGGAGAACTTAATATTCATTTATCTCTCTTTCGTTTTCATTACTATAGACATTTGACACAAACTCCTTACAAATTCGTATCTCTAGTATAAAGAGCCGCATATAGGTACCTACATATGTATATGTATAGGTTATTGGGATTAACCGTAAAGCAAGAAGTCATTACACGCTTATGGCAAAAAGTTCATAAAAATTGATATTCACTCTAAAAAAGAAATTTCATGTCGAAGTGGGCAGATGAAAATTTCAATGAAATATAATTTATTGATTCTTCACCCGCCCACCACGCAGGTGTTTCAGAGTGTAATGAATAATTTAAAAATCGACATTCATTTACAAAGGCGTTTACAGTAACCTTAATTTACTGTTACATAAACTGTTCAAAATCGAAGCCATTATATCAAAGTCTTGGGTGGCGGAACTCGGTCCGAATATTTAATTAATACCATTTTTTTGCGATGAGTAAGCAAAAGTGCAGCATATAATTGGCCAAGATGGCTTTGCTTTTTTATTGTTTGTTCGTTTAATTTCTCATTTAGTGTTGTAATTGACTTGAAATTGTCAAATAATATCAGCTATTACATGAAGGCGTAATCGTCGTCACAACAGTCGTTGGAGAGTTCTTTGTTCGATTTATGTCAGATGAATAATATACGTAATTTATGAGCTTTTTTGTCTCAACTTTTTGCTCCCATTCACTGTCTTTTTATACTTGTTATTTCTTGTTCCTACGCCCACGTATTACCTACAGGTGTATTTAAAAATGTATCCTAACTAAATTGATCTATTTATAATAATTACCGTCTAAAATTATTCAGCTGTTTTAGAATTACAGCAAAAAATTGAGGTATGTTTTGCTGTAATTCTAATACAGCTGAATAATTATAGCTATAATAAAATTAAAGAATCGATACTAAATAGGTTCTTTAAGAAATAAATATTGGTCTTATAGGCTTCATTACTATTTGCAGGAAAAAGAACTGTTAGCAAGAAGTATGGGTGAATTGGAATTCCAACGTAAATTAACGGAGGGCTCTGGAGCGCAGCCCTTAGAAGAACGGGAGAGAGCAGAGGGAGAGAGTGCAGGTGACTCTGATCCCTCTGACAACGAAGCCGACCAAGATCAGGAAGGTAGTGATTCCGAAGAAGATATTGAAGCTAAGGGTAAGATTTTTAGAAATAATATAGAAAAAATAAGAAATTATGAAGTAAAAAGCTATTGTTTTGAAAGACAGGCGCCTTGATATAGTAACAATGGGGTTTCAAATTTAATAAAATTTAATTCATGTAAATTAGATTTTTATATTAGCCTTTGTAGAAAAGAAAGATAATTTTGATATTTGTTGCAATAAAATTTTCAGTATTTTCGTATTACTAATAAATGAAGTTTTTTATAAAGCAATACAATTTGTATCAACTCGATAACATAATTAAAATTGCAGGTCAACGTCTTCTAACAGACCAACTCGCAGCTCTGAGCGAAGATATCGACACAAAGGCCCGTCTAGTGGAACAGTTAGAGGCTTCCCAGCGCAGGCTCGCCGCGCTGAGGACGCACTACGAGCAGCGGCTGGACCAGTTACACGCACAGATCAAGGCCACGGGCGAGGAGCGGGATAAAGTGCTGGCGTCGTTGGGTTAGTTGTTAGATTGTTTGTTTTTATTGGCAGTATATCTGTTACTTCTTAATTAAAAAGCAATTTTTTCGTATATCTCATCGTCATCGTCCCATATGGGATAAAATATTTGTGTTTTCGGCTATTGCTTTGTGGTAGTATAATGTGGCAAGGATTATAACTGCTCAATGCAACAGAGTTTGTATCCATCTGCCCTCGCAAGAAAAATCATGAAACTAAAAAAAGTAAAAGAATAATTTTATAATCAACGTCTAAAGGATATATTTATTTGTTCTCATTTTTCTCATGTCGACATCCATGTAAATGGTAAATGTAAAATTACGATATTGACATTTCTATAAAACGAGCTACATAAACACAAAATATGTATGCTAGAATATATTAAAATGTAGTTTTTGCATGTAAGTTTCATACTTGTCCTTTTATATGTGAAGATAGTGATAGTCCAGTGGCAAGCATTCGCTTGGAAAACCGAGTAAAGCGGATTGAAATCCTCGCACCTCTGGTATTTCCATGTGCAAATAATTTTCAACATGATTATCACTTGTCTTACGGTGAAGGAAAACAACGTGAGGAAACTTGCATGTCTGAGAGAACCTAGCAAGTTTTCGAAAGGCATTTGGGATTGCCAACCCGTACTTGGCTAACGTAATGAAGTATGGCCTGATCCCCTCGTATTGAAAGAAAGCCAGTGCCCAGCAGAGGGACGTTAAAAATGGCTGATTACAAATATTATAAATAAGTGTTAAATTTCAAACTTGTCTATTTAATGTTGTAATTTTCCAGCATCCCAACCATCACAGCCGAGCGACAAGCTGAAGCGTGTGAAGGAGGAGTACGAGCGGCGCGTGAGCACGATGTCGCGCGAGCTGCGGCGGCTGCAGGCGGCGCAGCGCGAGCACGCGCGCCTGCAGCGCTCGCAGCAGCACACCGCGCAGCAGATACACGCGCTTAGGAACGAGCTCACCAACTTGAAGCGGGATAAAGTAAGCGCTGCACCGCTTTATTGTTTAATATTAATCAAATATATGATAGGGAGGTTAAAGAATACATAAGATGTATTGATTCTTGGTGGTTGGTGGTTATCATTTAAAGTAATGTTTTTTTTTAAATATTTATGTTCATTATAATGATTTCTTTTTCTCAGTTCTTGATTCTATTTTTCTTTTTTTTTCTTTGTCAAAATAACGTCGCGTGTATAATATACGTGAATACGTAAAGTAAATATAACTAAGAAAGTTTGGTAGAATAAATTAATGAAAGTACAATTTTTAATGCGATTCTGATTCGAAAAATTGTGATTATTATGTAAAACTCTATAAGTAAGCATTTTAGTTATTTTCTAGGTAAAACTAGTCCAGCGCATGCGAACAGAATCTAAACGCCACGCTCAGGCAGAAGCAGCTCGAGCCAAAGAAGTAAGTACCTACCTATATAAAAACAACGTTTATTTAAAAGAAATAATTTAACTCGAATCGACATCCGTTGAAAGCAACAGATATCAATTTGCAGTACTAAAATATGTTTTTTATTTTTATTTAAGGTGGCTCAGTTGCGAAAAGAATCTCGTAAGAATGCAAACTTAATAAGAAGTCTGGAGGCTGAAACCAAATTGAAGGAACAAGTTCTGAAGCGGAAGCAAGAGGAAGTATCGCTGTTGCGTCGCGGACATCGAGACAAGCTCAGTAGCCGCGCCGCCGGGCGGCTGTATGGTAACTTATACTTTGTTTTTAACAAGAATGATGTTTTGGAATGGATTTATTGAGTTTAAAACAAACTGTGTTTATTATTAAAGAACTAGCATTGCCCGCGGCTCTGCCCGCGTTTAGATGACCAAAAACCAAATTCTTAGGTTTTACAGATTAGTATACTCTTACATTGCAATTTTTGCATTTTTCTCAGAAATGAGATATTTTCCCGCGGTAAAAAGTAACAAAAAAGTAAAAAAAGGACCCGGATAACCAGCTATCACCATACCAAATTTCATCAAAATCCCTCCAGTGATTTTTCTGTGATGCGGTAACAGACAGACAGACAGACAAAAATTCTAAAAACTAGATTCGGGCTCTGTATTGATAATAATGTCTGTTTCAAAAAAAATTAATAATTAAAAAAAATATATTTAATGTACAGATTCGGCTTGTTTCTTTTTTCGCGCACCAATGAACTCTGTGTACGACCACTAGTGTTTTTATAATAAGTTTATATATTTGTTTTTTTGTTATTTTCATCGTAATAAAAACCTACAATTTATTTATATAATATAATTTTTTGGCACGAATAACTCAATTGTCCTATTATAAGGTACATATCCGTCTTATTATAATCTTACATACCTGATTTTAGTAATTTCTCTTTATAATTTAAACGACGCCATTATGTTCATATTCAATTCACACTCTACCTATATATTATAACTTGTACGAATATGAATAATCATAATATAAATGACACCAACATAACCAAACAGAGCGTCCCCGCAAGCGTATCTCCGGGCGCGAGCTGTGGTCCAAGCTGGAGTGTTGGCTGTCGCGCGCGTGCGCGGCGCGCGTCACGCTGGGCGAACTGGAGGCCGCGCTGGAGCACCAGCTGCGCCAGCGGGACCGCGCCGCCGCCCCCGGCGCCCCCGCCGACGCCGACAGCGCCGCGCTGCGCGCCTATCTGAGGGACGCCATTGCTGACACGCAGTCGCAGATTATGCAGATTGAGGTACGTACTCGTACAAAACAAAACAAACCTATCCCACGGTAACCGTACGTTTTTCCGTTATAAAAAGCCTATGTGTTATTCCAGAATATAATCTACCTCTTTGCCAAATTTCATCCAGATCCGTTCAGCCGTTCTGGCGTGAAAGAGTAACAAACACCACACTCACAAACTTTCACATAATATTAATACGAATGTGTTGAAATATGGATATGAATGGTATGCGGCAAAGTATTATTTAAAATATATTGTTTATTTGAAAAATGTATATTAATTTCATAGCAAAATTAAAAATTAAAATATGAGCTCAATGTGGTGAGAGAGAGAGACAGATAGGATCGCCGAGCCGAGTGGAAAGAAATTCTTAAGAGTTACGAGGGCGTGGCAAAGCGTCGTCATGCCGACTGGCAACGGCCGGTTTGGTCCGCCGCATTATTAGATGTTTCACGTCTAAAGCTTGTCTAAGCTAGAAAAAACTACCGATACGATGATATTTGTGAATTAACTCTAAAGAATTCGGTTTCTTCCGAGAGTCTTAGTAATATTTAGCGTCTATCCATTATAAATGTTTAGAACGTTAGTAGTGTAGTAGTTAACAGCTAGCGTCGTCACCAGGAGGAGAACGAGGAGACGGAGCTGCCGCGGCTGCTGGCGCTGGCGGAGGGCGAGGCGGCGCGCCACGCGGCCGAGCGCCTGGCGCACGCCGCGCTGCAGCACGCGCACGACGCCGCGCGCATGCGCCGCGCGCTCGCCGACACGCGCGCGCAGCTGCTCGAGGTACGACGCATGACGCGACTTATATTCGCTTTGCTTATGCTCCCAGATGGGTATCAGTAGTCACTCGTAATGTTTAACTCCAGGCCAAAGTCTATCTGTGTATAAAATCAATCAAAATCTGATTAGCCGAAAACAAACACAGAAATTTTGGCATATATACATTCATATTTATATACATACATTCAAATTCGGAATTAAAATAATCCATAGGGATGTATAACACTCCTACCTATATAACTATATACCTATATAACTACAGATAATAAAAAATGAATAGAACCTGTATAAAACATTTTTTAATTATTTTAGTTTTAATTGGTTATTTAGTTAAATTATAATATATTCAAACTGTACTCAAAAACTGTTCTTTATCTGTTTAAATTACATTTCCAACTCCTATTTAAAAATAGCGGACAAAATAGATTGCTTTAATTAAATGCTATATCAACATTATCAATAAAATTTCCTTACCAGCTTGAGGAGAAATCAGAGAGAACAGCGAGCGCTCTCCGCGCCGCCGAGGACCAGAACCTGAACCCGTGGGGCGTGCCCGCCGCGCTGGCCGCCCTGCTGGCTCACGTCTCGTCTGGTACCTCGACACGATCCGTCTCGCCTATTGACAGGTATTATTATTCTCTTTTGTTTAAATTTTATTTAACAAAAATGCCTTTAATTGTAACAGACTAAAGAAAAAATTATTATATCTATTAATTATTTTTCCAAACACAATTCAGAAAAAAAAACTATGGCGTTTATTACAATTTTATTTTTACGTTTAGATTTTAAATTTTATTTTTATTGTAAAACTTTAAACATATATAATTAAATACATTCAATTACAATTATAACAAAAAATATTGTAATTTCAGTCTAAAATCGTTATCAGTTTACAGGTTTTAGTAAAATTTAATAATAATTTAACACATTAAAACATCATATTTATCACAGTGCACTGCTAGAAGTGCGGCCGCCGGTGATAGGGCACCGGGAGTCTAACACCGCGCCCGCCTCGCCGCCGGACGACAACAGCAACTCGCCCTTCCATAGAAATACGTAAGAATATCATTTTAAATATACAATATACTAACACATAACCATGAAAAAACCTTACATAAATTTTGAACGTTGTCAATATTATATAAAGTTTTCTAACGATGATGTCTAGGTAAGTAGGTAAGGCAATTGTGGACGCGCTGTTATGTGTACTTTTATATGGCAATCGGGAAATGGCTACAAGTTTGACGTGTATAACTGTAATTTAACCAGAAATGGAACTGAATCGCTTAAATTTTGAATCCATGAAAATGAAAATAGTTTTTTTTTGTTAGCAACCAAAAGCTTTTTTACGCTTATTAATTATCAACAACTTATTTTTACACTTATTAATTTATCAATTATTACACTTATTAATTATTTTTAACGAGTATTTTACACTTAAACACGTTTTCATCACCCGACAGAGGTCGTCGCGGGTCGGTGCGCCTGCGCGACCTGGGCGTGTACTCGCGGCAGGAGGACGGCGCGGACCCCATGACGCAGTCCATGGTGGAGCCCACCAGCCCGCGGCCGGCGCCGCTCAGCCGCGTGCCCAGCGCGCCCGGCAGCTTGCGGTTAGATTTGGTTTTTTAATGTTGTACTTCTTTTGGGACGTTTGGAAAAAAATATGAGAGTAAAATTTTTACGATGCGCGTGCACACAGACAGCCAAAAATTTAGCTGCATTTCTTTTACAGTGAGTTGTGACATACGGGATGAAACCTTTAGCGATTTTTGTTTTATTACGCCAAAGAAGTATAACTTCTTACATGCGTACATAAGTACACACTTACGTTTTTTTTTGTTTATATGGCTTTCTATTAGAAATGCTTAACACGTAAAAAATTACTCGTCACATCGTGCGTTTGTATTAGTAAAATTCTTTACCTTATTTAATTTCTAGAACCCAGTCTCATATAATATATGGACAATATATTATATAAGACTGGGTATATAGTAGACTCATGACGTTCAGTAAAAAATTGTAATAATTTAATGCTGAATATAATAATTTGATTTGAATATCCTCATAAATTTGTACCTATGAAATATATAAAACCATATTCTATCATTTTTGATAGCAATATTGTTTTACCATTTTTTTTATAATTTTCACACAATATTATATACTAGCGACTTACCCTCGCTTCGTTCGGATGCATCTCTTAAGTGATTAACCAGTCCAGCACACACACGCAGTCTTTAATTCAAGTTACATATTAAAACACTCTAGTAAATTAAATTCTATATTTAGAGGTCTACAACCAATGCCAGGGCTAGCGTCCCCGGTGGCCGCGCGCCGCGCGCCCGAGAGCCCGCGCCTGCCGCGCCGCCAGCTCTCCAAGCCCGCCTCCTTGTACGTATCCATGTCCGCCTACCATCTGTGGCGCTGGTGATGCTTGGAAGGGATTGTATGTACATAATATGTTTAATCTATACTGTAAATATGATTTCAATTTATTTTTAATATTTGCTATTATTATAAAACTATATTAAAAAAAAGTTACTCGTATAAAATTCGAGATTACGATACAGAGGTTTTAACACATACTGATAGAGCTCAGTGTCTGAATAAAATGAAAAATGATAAAATTTTATATTATTTATATTTAGAAGCCTAATTTTTTTATATTTTTTTGATAGTCTGATGTGGCATATTTTTGGATTTGAAAAACTTGTAGTTGTTTTATAATATTTAATGATAATAATAATTCTGAACGAATTATGTATATAATTATGGATATTAATTGGATAAATTTACTCAAGATTGTTTAAAAATTAATCTCTTACATAAGTATTAATTGTATATATATTTTTTATGAAAACTATATTAGACTTTACGACATAAAATTGACTGTTGACTCAATCCATAGCACAATTAGCAATTTGTCATTAACGTAGAATATCAAATTTTAAAGAAAATATTAAGGTCTCTGGCCGGACTGGTCTTGGCACATTTAGTCATTTTATATTGGCAAATACTATATATTTTCATGCACGACATATTATTTAATGCATAGCAAATCATGAAACTATACAATCTCTTTCAAGCATTACTATATTTTTGGTAAATGGCTATAATTTCACATATTTTAAGCAAGTCTCGAATTTTTCCACCATATAAATATATACTTTTTTATTATTATTTATATTTAATATATTAAATAAAGTACAAACGCTATAGTAAAAAAAATTTATTCATAATTAATTATTAATTAATAAAATAGAAATGGAATCGTGAAAAGTATATATTGGTAACTTATTAGTTTTTTAGTATATTCAGTAGACTGCTTTAGTAGTTAGTTTTTTCCCTGCGCCTCGCCTCTGCATGGTAAAGTTTGCTTGGGTTTATGTGTTTTATATATAATATACTCTTAGTTTATATTTGGATCTCAGGCTAAGGAATAATTAAATGAAGTAGACATGAAGTTAAACAATAATATTTTGAAATATTGTATACTGAGTGGTAAGGAAATAAATATTAATATATAATCATAATTGACGAAAATATCGATGAACATACACAAAAAAATACACAGACGAACATAGAACTTCCTCCCTTATGGAAGTCGGTTAAAAATAGCTAACAGATTTTATTATAATAAAAAAATTAAATAAGCTAATATTATACTATTTCTCTGTCAAGGGGAAGAGAACTAATGCTTTAAAAATACAAAAGACCTGTTATATAGCAAAATCGAAAAAGTAGCTTATATAGCAGATCAAGCTACTATTTTTGACTTTGACATTTGTTTTGGCGGAAGCCAACTACATAACTCTTTAGTCTGAGATTTGGATATATTTATTAAATTTTGTTAAGAAAATTGTCGTGTAAGATCGTTTAAATTGATCATATCATTCATTTGTGTCCATTTTGTGTTGCAACTGTATATAATTCATGTTTTGGGTATATTTTTGATTTCTTTTTTTTTATTATTTATGAATAATGAAAGGTAGTAGAAGGTAGAATGTCAGTTACATTCCAAATATTATATCTTACACACAATTTTTGCAGTATCACGTAGAAATATTTTCTTTTTTGGTAAATTTATTTCTTTATATTAGCATATAAATCCTATAACCATATACGCTCTGATTGTTCGAGTGTTTGCAAGTTATATTTTATTGTTAATAATTCTTGATTTGTAACTTTATAACAACAAATAGCATATTTTATATTTTTTTATTAGAAATGGGCTTACTCTTGACCTTCATCTTAGCTCAAATGCATAGATATAGAGATAAGGTCAACGATTTAGCGAGTTTGCCCAAGAGAAGCCTGTTAACACGCACTTTAAAGAGTTTCAGGCATATTTGAACTATTATAACATTTCAACTTTCGGCGCGGAAAAAAATTAATATATAAGGATAATAGAAATTCAAATTATTAAAAAAAATATCTACAACATGGTGCCCTAAAGTGTCACGCTACCGAGATATTTATACTTAAACATCGCCATATGAAAAATTGGCAATAACTAAAAATAAACTGATTATGTCTTAATATGCGTTACTTGTATAATACAATAGTTTCAATAAGTCTCATTTAAGCGACCGTTACTTCTATATATTTTGGAAACGCGTCACTTTCGGGCACCATATAGCCAAAATTTTTGAAGTAAAACTTCTTTAGAATCGTTGTGATTTGAAACTCGATGAAACGGAAATGCGACACTAAAAAGAGGCAAACACATAAATATATAGGATTAAGCCGGCAAGAGAATGAGATAGAATACATTGCCATGTTTCAATGGTAACCGCTGTTACGGTCTGACAAATATATAATATTATATTCTTTCCGTATATGATATTCTATAAATATATGATTATAATATAGGCATATTACAATCATATATTTATAGAATATAAATTAAATTAGGCAATATGCCTTATTTAATTATTGATTTGTTTTAATTTGATTGCGATATTTGCCAAGGAAGTTTTACTTCAACCGCGCGTAAAGGTTACACGCACCCATATTTATTTTTTGTTTATTTGAGTATCCCCTATACATTCCTGCCTGTTACATTTTGCGACGCAACTTAAAAAAAATATGGCAGTGCATGACCAATGCCATGTTTCATAGGAAAGTCTTCGACTCCCTTTGTTGATGATTTTAAAGTTAAAATTAACTTGCAAACACAAAAACAAACATGAGTGCGGAGGGCGCGGGCGCGTGACATAATCTGTTGCTTGCAGCCTCCTCACCGACCTCTCCATAGTGGAAGATTGACGACGACCGCACCTAGTACCTACCTTCTAGACGCTACCTACATGCGATCCCATGTGGGTGCTACTTCCAACACTTAGATAAAAAGCAACCTGTACATAGCTTTATATACAGACGGACGTACACTTGATTTAAAAACTATTTTCATATATGTATGTAAACAAATTTAGTTAGCCACGGCTTTAAGTTTAATCTACTATATTATTATATACACCAGCGGTTCCCAAGTGGTGGTCCGCGAAACCCTTGGATTCCGTGAAAGGGTCACAGGGGTTCCGAGTTCCGTCCGAGAGTTAATTGAAACGTCAGATATGAAGCCTTATTTTAGAAAAAAATTCATTTATCACATAACATAAGTTATATTTTTGATACAATAAATATTGTTAAAGTGTCAATATTTTTCATTAATGATTTGTTCTTTCAAGTCAAACAAGGAAGTATTCTAACTACAACACAATCAGTTTAGGTAATATCAAAATGGGGTTCCGTTAAAAAAATTGTGTTCAATTAAGGTTCCGTGGCCAAAAAAAATTGGGAATCGCTAGTATACACAAAAATATCCTACTATAATATTTGATATAGAGCATCGTATCAGCCGTGTAGCATTTTGCACAGTTTTTTAGTCATGTTTGTACTGTCACTGTATACTAACATTGGATCGTTTGTGAGATCTGTTAGACGTATGCATGCCGTATTCATGAACGAATTAACTACTGGACCAGACATATAAGCGGACGTACCTTTATCGGTCTTCTCAGTAACCAGGAGATTTTAGGCTTGGTCGTTTGTTTTTTGCGTCAGTCTCAAGCACTTATTTGTCAACAAAACATCTCCCAAAAATGACTAAATGTTCTGTTAAATGATGTAAAAACTATAACGGCGGAAGCAGCACTATTTCTTTTCACTTGTAAATACATTATTTTATTACATTTATTGTTATTTATCATACAATTTAATTAAATGTAAAATAAAATGTCATATTATCCAACTATGTTAAATATAGTCGATATTTCTATGTATTGTTGACATTTGAAAACCATCATAACATGGCTGGATTATACCATTCAGAACAAATGACAAAACTGTCGAGTGAGTCCATTTGACATCGACTAGTGCTTGACAATGTCGAAAAATATATCGATATTTGACGAAATAACTAAACGAATTGTGTTATTTGTACAGTACAATAACATAAAATACTTTTACCACAGTATCTTACAATCTGATGACAATAAATTTATAAAAATATTTTCTAAATCAAATAAAAATATAAATGCAAAAATTATAATTATTATGTGTACTTCATTTTTTATTTTATTTTATTCCACATTTATATACTTTGGAATATTATTCCATTGTAATAATAATAAAGATCATTTTATTTCAACACATAAATTACACAAAATCAAACAATAATGTTTTAGCACTAAACTTCTGGGTTGGCGATTTGTAATAAAACACTTTACCACTTGCACTAATTATTTTACTGTCACGATCCAACACTCACTTTAATTTGTAATCACTTTTTCTTTTTCCTAATTGTACAAATGTTTATTAAGAACTGAGAAATATTAGGACAGTGTCACATTTTTATAACTACCCGAGACAATCAATTGCCAATTAAAATAGTTCAATAACAGAATCAACAAAATCACTTTATTTAATTAAATTAGCTTAATATTTTTTTAATCTTTACAAAATAATATTTATTATATATTAATGGAATATTTACCCGATATTCATTTGTTCATTAACATTATTATAGGCCAACAGAATGTTGCCATCAATGTCATCGTATTTATATAAATCAAATTAAAAAATAATTATTATTTGAGACATTATTATTGCCTCTTTAATTCATTTATTTTAATTTATTAAAATTAAAAGAAGAAGAATAAATTAAAAGATGTAAAATATGATGACTATGCTAACCAATGTCTAAAATGTCATTCATTGGTTCATCGATATATGTATTTTATCAATTACGTTCAATCACTAGAAATATTGTATTGTGTATCAGTGTTTATAATAATGTAATAAAATCTTTGTGTGCGTTATGCGTCACTTGGTTGAACTAGTTTTCATACATTTGTATTTTATGTCAGGTCCAGTCTCTAATTCGTCCATGGCCGTATTATATGTAAATAACATTCTATTTACCTTGCTATGTTAAAATGACAGCTAATGTTTTCTTCTTAAAATGAATTTATTATAATGAACGTTATCTTTTGTATATAATATATTGTAATTTTAATGTCACTAATCATCCAAAGGATTAATTTTGTAAGAAATAATGTTTATTATAAGCCTAATTTGATTGTGATTTATAATTATAGCTGACTAATTCAAAGAATAATTATAATGAATTAATAATAGCACAATACATATTTTAAAACAATAAAATTAATAAATAATAAATAATTAAAGAATATTAGTATAAATTGCTTTTTATATATCAACTATATTATATAAGTAAACTAGCGACTCGCCCACGCTTCGATCGGGTTCGTCCCTAGGTACGTTTTAACGGTTAGTATAAAATAAAAATCTTTGAATTTCTCGGTTTTTCTGTACTATAATATACATGTATTATACTTATAAACCTTCCTCTTGAATCACTCTATCTATTAAAAAATATATAAATAACATCGCATCAAAATCCATTGCGTAAATTTAAAGATCTAAGCATACATAGGGACAGACAGACAGCGGGAAGCGACTTTGTTTTATACTATGTAGTGAAGTGAAATGTTCTTTTTTTGTATTATAAATTTATTTATTAGTCAAATCAACTAAAATAATTACAATCATATTGGGCATATCGGCGACGGTCGGTCACAGTGTAACGTAAGCTTTAAAAAGTTACGGCAGCTGTAGAGCTGTAACTTGTATGTAGGTAGGCACAATAAAACATTAGCAGTAACATTGTGTTTGTTTTGCATCCCAGCATGTCGCACTTGCATGGTATCTTATTAGAAATCCCTTGAAAGCTCGAAATGTATATTATAGTGTTTTTTTTGTTTATTTTATATATAGAAATAATAAATTGTATTTAATAAAAATGAAAAAATATCAATAGCACTTGTTACTTTTGTTATTTGAAATGTATTTATTATTATTTATACATTATGACATTCCTATAATTGACTCTACTATTATATACACACACATACATAAATAAATATGTTGGTACACACACGCAGCACCACTTAGTTCCATGGTAAGCTACAAGGCTTGATGTTATATTATAGTTGATACACTACACATATAAAACTTTAAATGCACACATATTATTATTAAACACTCCCCCCAACCGGACTCGAACCCGTGACCGTTGACACAGCAAGTAGGGTCGCTAGAAACTGAGCCAAACATATCATCACTAAATACTTCAATAAAGCTACATAGGTATAAAATAAAATATTGAAATTGATTTTCATGTTGATAAAAATCTATTACAGATAGTAAATATGAACGTTACTAATACATAATATACATACATATCTGATATTATTGTATACAATGACTTTTTGTGTTTTTTTTTGTTATAATATAATGTAAGTACCTTTTATGATTTTGTTTATTCGTCACTTCATCCATGTATTGCTTGAATGTCGTTTTTTCATAATGCCATATTTATTTTCACTTCTTAATACGAGTAACAACACGACGATGATATACATATGTTAATAATGCTCCACATATTTAGTTATTCTCACTTCTTAATAATAACACGATGATGATATATATATTGTTAATATGTTAATAATGCACTTATTCTTCGTTATTATTGTAAACCACATTAATTCACCACTTAAATTACGCGCCATTTTTTTGTTTGTTTTTTTTTCATACACTTACTGCACTGCTTACACATTTTCAGCCAGTATCTTTACAATGAATAAGACTTATTATCTTCTATATATGTATGTTATTGAGTATTATATAATAATATTTACTAATATTTACGACATTATTTTAATAATTAATATATGGAACAAAATAATACGTTATTATTGGATAAAATATATTTTACAGGCTATTTTTTTCATTATAAACATATAATAAGACTAAATTACATTTAATACTACTATACCATTTCAACCATATGTTTTATTATTTTCTAATAATCTAGCGATTAATAAATCACTAACTTGTAATAGAGAGCCTGCCGGTGAAGGTACGCCTCCCGCGTCGCCCGGCGCCGCTCGACGGACGAGGGACGACGATGTATTTCTGCGGCTAACTGGCGCCGCCCCAGAGCATGCACCTCAAGGGACTGTCAAAGAAATCACTTTAAAAGTAAGAGTATTTATTTACATTTTACATATTATTTTTTAAATTTTATATCTTAACTACTTTAAACCGCGACTCTATGTTGTTCTAAGTATACTTTATTAAGCTACTACTTACTTTGTGTTAATCAATGAAATGCACTCTCTTGGTTCCGAATTTAATTCAAACCCGATAAGCCTTAACCAGATGATTCACTTACTCTAAAGTGTGAACTGTGAAAGTTAAAAGGAGCATTCCATATTTATTTATTTAGCTTCGTAACTCTCAATTGTAAAATTATAGGAAATTAAACTAGTACAATATAATGTAATCGTGTATATGTATAGTAATAAATAACGTAAATAAATAAAACTTAACTTCTATTATTAACATTTTGAACTCATAAAGTGTCAACGTTACGACAAAAATGCAAAATATTAAATATATAAGAAATACCTATAGTTACCTAATGTTTTATTATAAATATGATTATATTTTTAGCGTTCAAGTGTAGGTGGCGGCAGCGTGGGCGGCAGCTCGTGGCTGCAGTGCACGCACGTGGCGGAGGGGCACGTGGGCGCGGCGCTCTCCCTCGCACCCACGCCTCGTGCGTTGTATAGCGGCGGAGTGGGTTAGCATCCTATATATTTATAGCTGTATATTTTAAAAAATCAATATACAGTAAAAAAAGATTTTATTATCAATATAGTTATAGAACTTCAGATTTATCTCTTTAAAGTTTAATTTTTGTAATTTGAGTGTCCTAAACATAAGTGTTTTATATATTTCTACGTCATTAGTCCGAAAACAAACTAACTTTTGTTTATTTTATTTATAATCGTTTTTATACACACAATAAAAAAGTACAGGTGTTGTTTATTAAGTACAGCATTCAAAGGCGGTCTTATTGCTAACACATCTTTATCAGGCAACCTTTCGTGAGAGGATAATAAGACGGACGGAGAATAAGACGAAGACCGTTCTATCAAAAATTAAATAAGTAAAAACGATAAAATTCAATTCTCGTGTTCAGTGCTTTGTGCTTCAAAGAGTACAAGTTGAGCACAGATTACTTAGCCAATGTCACGTACATAGAATGGAGAAGACTAAAGATATAAAAAAATATTTTTTGTTTATGTGTTATTCGCACCAATAACACGAATGTCCTTCCAGACCGCACGGTGCGCGGGTGGGACCTACAGGCGGGGCGCGAGGCGTGGCGCGCGTGGTGCGGCGGCGCGGTGGTGGCGCTGGCGGCGCACGCGCCCCTCGACCCGCGCCTCGTGCTCGCCGCCGCGGGCGCCGCCGTCAAGCTGTTCGACACGAGAACCAGTGGCCCTAATGCTGTTTTATGGTGAATATGCTATTTCAGCCCTTTTTTACGTCCTATTGCTGGGCATTGACCTTTCTTACTTGCCAGGTGGAACAGGCCATCGTCCACCACGCCTCTCTTATGTCCGTATGTGTACTCTATCCGAAGGGCCGTGGTAGCCCTTCAATGCCAAATGGATAGAGTATGGTAGACTTCATATGTCTTTCAAAAATTAATTAATTTCTCACAACTATGGAGGTTTTCTCATGATATTTTTCTTCACGCTAAAGCGGTATTGATGTTGAGCAAGATTGACATATGAAAATCTCAGAAATGGGCTCGTGTTTGAATTTTGCGCTTAAATTCCTGCTTTTGTTGTAATGTAAATTAAAATAATGACCTCTCTATGGGGATCGAATTCTTGTTAAATAAGCAACTCGTAGATTGTTTTTTTCTACAGATTCTACTAAAAAGCTAATTTACATATAAAAAATGTATAATTATTATTCCAGGTCATCAGGAGCAAATGGGACTAATGCAGCAGTGCGCGGCGGAGAGGCGGCCGTGACGGCCATCTCGCTTGCGTCCCAGCACCGCCTGTACATGGCCGCCGGGGACAAGCTGCGCGTGTGGGACCTGAGGATGTGAGAATACTTTAGTTTTTATTTTAAAATATATAAGACTTTAGGCAATTTCTTAATAGAAAAACTCAACTACTAAAAAAATACTTGATATGGAACTCGAACCCATGGCATGCTAGAGTTATTTTATATATCTTTGTATATCGTAGCTTCACCTAGGTTTGCTAAAGAACGACGTTGTAATCGTAAGCGATCCTGCGACGCCCCATTTATACACGGGAAGTTTTGTTGGGTTTTAGTGGGTAGTACTAGCTTCTCTAGCCCATGAGCCCCACCGGATAAGTGCGAGTCGGACTCGCTTACCGAGGGTTCCGTATAAATTTGTAGGTAATCTGTTCAACTTTAATTATCAACCTTTTTTATTTTTTTGGAATATTTCCTTCATTTGTGTTGTAAGATCTTGCCTTTTGCCAAATTTCGTGATTCAAGGTCAACGGAAACTACCATATAGGTTTTCAACCCAAAACCTTTAGGGTACTTCCGGTTGATCTAGAATTGTCAATTTTTGTCAAAAGCAAGGTCTTACAGCACAAGTAAAGGGAAAATTCCGAAAAATAAAAAAAGTTGAAAATTAAGGAATATTTTGGTACTTACAAGTTTTCGCGAATCTAAATTTGCCCATATCTTTATATCGTGTTGACTCAAAACCTTGATTTTTATACACCTAATAGGGACTATAGAACTCAGTATCTGGTATAAATTCCAACTTGCCAGGTCCACCCGTTCCTGAGAAAATCGATGGTGACACACGGACAGACGTACAAGAGAGTGATCTTATAAGGGTTCCTTTTTTTAGCTTTTGAGGTACGGAACCCTAAAAAGGTTTGCTAAGTAACAATAACGTGTTGTGGTATCCAGGCTGGAGTGCGTGTACAAGGCGTGGTCGGGGCACGCGGCGGCGGTGGTGTGCGTGGCGCGCGAGCCGCTGGCGGCCGGCGCGCGCCTCGCCACCGGCAGCCGCGACCACTGCGTGCGCGTGCTCGACCTCGTCGATAACAACGGTCGGTTCATATTACTTACTAGCTTGCTTCCCCATACAAACTTTCATCCCCATTCTCATCCCCTTAAGGGATGATGTCCGGGATGAAAAATATTTCACTTAATCACTTTTCATATCATGAGATTTAAAAAAAAATCTTAACTTATAAAAAAAATCTTTTAATTTTCTTCAATACAAAACTTTCTAACAATAACAAACACAAAAAAAAGAATTATCCAATTTGGTGCAGTCGATCGGAAGTTATGCGCGTACATACATTTCGGTGATTCATTTTTATTTATATAGATTATTAGTTATTTAATTTTAGACAGTGGTCGCTTAATGGTAAAGGGGTGGCGGGTTTCACATGTTTTTCGAAAACTTGTCAAGTTCTCTCAAACATGAAGGTTTCTTTACGATGTTTCCCTTCACCGTAAGACAAGTGGTAATAATGTTGGAAATGTTTCGCACATAAGAATATCTGAGGTGCAAAACCGAGATTTGAGCCCACTCCACATACACTCTTTCCTTGATTCACTCGGTTTCCCAAGTATATACGTTAAAACCGGTCTACCATTACCTTTTTAAATTATTTATAATTTAAAATATAAAGTTTTGGTCAACAAAGTTTATGGTATTGAATATCTATGTATTTATTATTGCGTTATTATATAATTTACGTAACGAATGATAATATAATTTTGAACGTATCAATTAGGTACGTGGGAGGCGTGCAACCGGCGGCTGCTGGAGCCGCCGCACTACGACGGCGTGCAGGCGCTGGTGCTGCGCGGCGCGCTGCTCTACTCCGCCTCGCGCGACTCCAGCCTCAAGTGCTGGTCGCTCGCCGACAACACTCTCACACATGTACGTGTTCTATATAACTTACACATATTTTATATTGTTAGATATTAGTTATATAAACAATATTTATATTAATTTTATCTAGGTAAATATTTTAGTTCCATTTTATTATTTAGTTAGAAAGGGCTTAAATCGGATTGTATGTTAAAAACAGCGATAATACCGCAAATTGATTATATAAGAAAATAGGTGTTCCCGAATCTCAACAATATAAGACTTTTACACCATTCAAAAATGGAATCAGTATAAATTATTAATTTTAATCTATATATAAAGTATCTAATTTGTTCGATGTAAAATCAACATTAACCTTTTATTTTACCGACTATAAATGTTTTACCGCCTCACGGAGTTTCAACGTGGTCAGCTTGTCGCGTCCTTGACGCAGAACAAGATAAACACACCCAATCACCTTAAACCGGTCATAGTGTACTCGTAGCCCAACTTTTATTCCGTGATGAACGCACTTAGTCTATAAAAATTGGCTGTAGTGTAATTATAACCCAACGTGCCCGCAGAGCGTGATGAACGCGCACAAGGGGTGGGTGACGGGGCTGGTGGGCGTGGGCGCGGGGCTGGCGAGCGCGGGCCGCGACCAGGCGCTGCGGCTGTGGAGCGCCGGCCTGCGCGCCGCCGCGCCGCCCGCGCCGCTGCCCGACGCGCCCGCCGCGCTCGCCGTCTGCGCCGACACGCACGCCATATACACCGCCGGCAGGTGAGACACACACACACACACACACACACACACACACACATTACGGCTTCACTATAAAAATCCATACTGTTATCACCCATTGATTTTCACGGATATTCTGTCAAGTGCAAAATGTTGTAAAAATTACCGATATTTACAATGAACGAATTTAGTGCTATCTCGTCGCAAATTTCAGTTGTATAATTATCGTCTACTAATCCGTACAATCTTGTAAGACAACGTAACCGTGCGAGGCATGTAACTTGTTGTTCGAATGACACGATACCGAATGTCTTACTTACTTTTGTTTGAGAATCGAAAATGGCTTTACAGTTGATAAATATTAGTAAAACTTGCCACGAGATGGCGCTACAACGCTTTAACTCGGGAACATTTCTTTCATTTAAAGAGACTTCCGTTAAGATCAATCCTAACCTAATATATAGATTTTTATACTGTGGCTATACTATGGTATGTTGTGTACTATTATAGTTACCTAGTCTTAAGTTTATATGAAACAAAGGACCTTGTCATCGACAGTTGGTGGGATTCCTGTGCCTTTTTATGTCTCCACTGAACATAACAATAAAACAATAATAATAATATAAAATTTGAAACGATTTCAGCCTTTGAATTTTATTGTAACATAAGTAAATATGCTAGAATTAGAAACGTAATGGTATTAAACATTAGTCAATCATCGTTAAAATAATGCTAATCTCCAAGTTTAACCCTTGTAGTAGATGTCATTTAACGAACCACTCAACTCTATACATATATCCATTCTTTTCTTTATATGAGTTTGACAATTCAATTCTATTCAATGCTCTTGATATTGGCTTCAAAGCGTGCCAGTTGAATGAGTTTAACATTTTGGTTAAAAGCTTGACTGTCAAGGATAATAGAGTCAAAAAAAAAGTTTGTAACTCTATTCGTAAAGACGGTGGTTATCATCCCATCTCATTCTAATCTTACTTCTATCTCTATTCATAGCAGAATATTTAAAAAAAGGAAGGTTTATTTATAACAAACTCTTCATTCTATTTCATTGATTTCATCGCGTTTCTTATGGATTTATATTAATTATTATAACAGAATGCTATGTTAATACCAATGTATTGATCAATATCAGCAAATATATTGGCATAATGTATCGAAATGTCCGTTAATATGTGAGTGTGTTGCAGCGGCGGCGAAGTGCGTGCGTGGCGCCTCGTCGAGCCCTGAGCCCAGGTGCACACACAAACCCACACACATGCATATACATACATATATATTAACATGAAAGACAAGATAAAAATATTTCATAATATCTTCTTTATATGTTAGGTTAATTATAAAAAAATATTGAGTATTGACTCTTCTATCTTAAATTCATTAATAAACGACATAAATCATGCAAATTTATTCAGTGACATAGTAATTATTTGTAACTTTTGGTGTGAAACATCTATTGGCGCGTCTTGGCAGTAAAACTGACTCGTATGGCGTGACGGCAAACGGCGTGACGCTGTCATGCCATCATGCCCCTTTTACGCCACTAGATTTCCTTGTGTGTGCTCTATTTTTTCTTTATTTTACTCCATATTTCGTTATAGGTATATTGCCGGACGTCCCGTGACGGCCCCATTTTTTTATTTAGATGTTCTTTCGTAACGTAAAGTATTATTAAAGTATTATTTAAAAAACAAAGATAAGAGCCACTACATTTTATATTTGATTTACACATCTTAAATATGTTTAGCAAACTTCAAATTGTATTGTTTGCATTAACATGTTCAAGATATTTAAATCAAATAAAGAACTAAACTGTGGTAAATTATTTGAAAGTCTCTCAGTATTTTTATCTTGTCGCATACATTCCCACTCGCCAACGATCACGCTTAACTCGCATTGGTATTACCAACAAAATGATATCCCGGTAAGTACGTGTCGTTTTGCCCCACTCCAGCTTGCGCACGCGTCGTCGCCGCTTCATCACTGTCTTTAACGGCAAATGTACGCTTAGCGCACGGGTATTTGACTTTTTAACCACTGTGTTAGCTATTTTTTAAACTTATTAATATTATATTCATCTTTATTTATTTTTAATCTGTATTCATTAGAAATATTTTCAATTTTTTTTTTAATTCAAAATTACACTGGTTTTTCTTAAATTAATTGTCAAATACCCATATCTCCTGTTTGTATTAGATCTTTTTTCTATGGTACTTGTTTTTTCGTGTGACTAACAGTTTTGCTCTTCACGAGCTTTCAGTGTTTCTAGTACTAATCACATCACAGTACTCGTGTTAATATTTTTATTTCTATTTCTAGACTTAGCTTTCGATGTAGATATTAGATTGGCAACTGTCTGTCTATTCGCAGTTGCGTGTTACTTCGAATTTGATGATTTTTCTTTACTAACATCCTTTTTTTTGTAATAAGGAACTTTTTAAAGTAGAAATTTAATTAGTAGTTTTACATTTATCGTCGTTTCTTAGTCTTCATACATTTTCTTAGTTTTAGATATTCATAGATTACAGTTTTATGATTGAATTATTAAAAATATTGTATAGATAATATAATTATAAGATTAAAACTTTCTGATATAACATAAAACTAGTCTATGACCTCACATAATGTGTGTAGTATGAAGTCAATATATGTAATTATTTCCAGCTCGGGTCGTGTCCGCTGCTGGCAGATTCGCAGCTCGCGGTGACAGGGCGAGGCGCGCAGCCCCGCGCGCCGGCGCCGCGCCTGGCGGTGACCCTCCACCACCCACCACTCGCCACCACTCCGCCACCACCACTCCACCACACTTAGGGAGCCCACATGGCCTTAGTTATAACTAATGTATTAGGTATCCGTGTTAACAAAGAATGTGATAAGAAATTGCGGTTCGTTGAGAGTTAACTGTTATTATATAAGAAATACACTTTGTAGCGACTTGATCCATTTCGATAGTAACTTTTTAAAACATTCTTTATCGGCACGAGTTATGTGACTTGGTAGAGGCATTACTATCTATCACAAGTCATGATCGAGAACTATCATGAGTTGCGAGTATTACTGAAGTATTATTATCATGACTTTTAACTTAGGAAAAAAATGTTAAAACTTATTGTTTTTATACTTCAAATAGAAATGACGTGTGCTACCATTTATAATCAATATTAGTACTAAAGATTTAAAATCTTCTCCGCCGCTACTGAGTACTTAAGCTACTCTTTTTCTCTATAATACAGCCAGTTTTTCTAAAACTAAACAAAATCAAATGTGTCAAAAGCAATATATTGTAGTGTGGAAGATTGAACGTTTTATAAATGTATACGTGTTTAACGTTAAACGTACAAATTTTAATTCATGATCACATGAGTGCTGCAATTCCTACAATTATATTTTTTAGTCAGTGAGTCAAAGATGTTACTACCTTGTTGCAAGGTCCTGGATTCGATTCGTAACAAATTTTATACATGAGACATAATGTCGTAAATACCTTTAATAAAATATGATATATAAGAATGCCGCTCATTTCGCATCGTCTATATAATCTAAAGAAAGTTATAAATTAAACTTTACTAAGTACTCCGCTCTATCATTCTATCTCTTCTGTTACTATACTTTTCTCGTCCTTTTTCAGTACTCTGCTACTTCTCGTATTTTTCCTTCTGTCATTATTACCGTTTTCTTGTAATGTAATATATCTACAATTTCGTCTTTAAAAAATATTTTTGTTTTCATATTATTATTGTACAATTTTTATGTCACTTGCACCAACATTCTTTCAATTCAATTCTCTTGTTGTTGGCTACAAAGCGTGCCAGTTGAGCTTTTTTTTTATTATTTAAATTAAACAGATTACTTTACCAATGTGACAGAATGGAGAAGACACGAAAGTGATTGGTTCAACATTCTTAATTTGACTTAAAGTTCATAAATATGTTTGGCTAATGTTAAACAGTACTATATAATAATAATAATATGTTGGAACATTAACACATAGCACCATACAGTTCCATGGTAAACTGCGAGGCTTGGGTTATGGATACCAGATACTTGATACACTACACATTATAACTTTAAATACATAGGTACATATTATAATAATATAAACACCCATGACTGGAGTACAAACATTCGTGCTCATCACACAAATAAATGCCCCCAGCGAGACTCGAACCCGCGACCGCTGGCACAGCGTATAGGGTCACTACAAACTGAGCCAAACGTGTCGTCATATGAAGTGATACCACGTATGTACTACATACCATATGATAACAAAATAAGAGTGTCGTGCGAGTTGCTCTTAAAGAATAAAGTCGTAGTCGCACTCGTGTGATTATAGACGGTAGAATTTTGTAATTGTTTATTGTAGGAAATCGTTCTAAGGACGTAGATACAGAATTTAAATTGTAGACTCATAACAGCGGCCTCTGGCCTGTAGCCGGCACGCTGCTATAGTTCCTTATATGAAATACATAGTTATTGAAATGCGAATTTGAATTACTATAAAATAGATATAATGGTTCAATTAATTTTATTTTGAAAATATCTTATACTTACTTGAATTTATGTGAATGAAAATTTTATGTTTGATTATTTCTAACTTTTGATTGCATTCCATGTTTCAAATTGTCTTCATTGTTTTTGTCACAAGAACATATTTATTGCTTTTCATTCAACCTCTATGGTTATTATACTCACATTAATAATAAAAACCAAAAAGTGTAAACCTAGGAACAATCTTCGAGAGGAACAAGTGCACCACATAAGCCATACGGCATCTTAATAACGTTATTTACGTCGCATTTTCAAAAATTGTTATATTTGTTGTCATAAAACTAATAATATTTCTACAACTATGGTATAATTTAGCCAAATATTTCAAAATGCAATAAATATTTGTCTGCACTTGTTCCTTTGGTCTTGATAAAACTAGCGACTAACATAGAATAAGAAACCAACAGCCGTTACAAAATGTCGCAACAAATGGCCTTCAAACAGATAATAATTCGTATATGGAGTTACTGCTTTTAGTGTGTAAACTGCCTTAGCTTGATAGTATCGCGTCGACGATGTTAGCGGCGAATATAATCGTAGAACTAAGAGAACTCTTACGTTAGATACCAACGCCTTATTGCCAAAATATGGAAGGTAGAGGTAAAGAGCATAGAGAGATGCTCTGTGATGTAAAAAGTGTCCCTCGAAAGACGTTAAATAGGTGGCGCTACAGTAGGAACAAGGTAAATTTTGAAAAAAGCGCCAAAAGTATTAATAAAAGTTTACAAAAAATAAATAACTCTCTACATATTATATTATTACAAAAGATTTTTAGGTTATATTTCATAAATTATTTTGTACTACGAAAATATTTTAATAATTTTACTCAAGTCACCCAAAATAATAAATTTTTCAACTCGGCACGCTTCACTCCACTTACAATTGCTAAATTTATATCATACTATTAAATATTTTTATACGTTAGCGCCATTCTGGAAGGTTTTGAACTGTTATTGACCGTTAGGCGCTTACGGGTGGAAACTTTTTCAACTTATCTCCCATTTAAGATAGTTCTCCTTATCTCTACCCTCCGTATGCCAAAAAACGCACATATCGACTTTATTTTTTCATAGAAATATTATTTTATATTTAATTTTTTCATCTAGACAGATAAAGAAGTAGTTTTATACTATTTCATATCAAGATTTTATTTAAAATTTTATATTCTTCGCAGTCTTTTTCGATCAGTTAGCTTTAGGCTCAATGTAAGATTGAACTAATTACAGTATAATTTAAGTATTTGAGTGAAAATACAAAGATCTTTGACAGTTCACTAAATAGATTTTTAAGAAGAATTGTTTCGAAATAAAACTTAATATGACAAACAACTAATAAATTATGGAACTTGTGGTCTATCGTCATAATCTATTGTATGACAGGTCGTCGGTTCGATTCCCGCACATTAAATAGGAACATTTAGTTCGTTATCTGTCAAAGTTCTTCTACAATCACTCATGAAGGCATCGACGTAACGCAATGTATATGTCATTTATATAACACGATATAGTCTGTGATTTATCGATCAATTATATTTTTGTACATTCCTGTGCTACGGGTACATTGTAACGCAAACGTATATTCATAGTTTAATTTTTAATAATATTTTTTAAGATTAGAATATAATTATGTGAAATAAATAATATTTTCATCTCAATTCTAATTAAGGCTATGATTTAGATTTTTTCAGTATTATCGTTCTTTTACCTCTCGTATTGTTTTGTTCGTGATAAGAACACTTGAGGCTATGGGAATGTGTTAGCTTTACATACATTTTTATAGAACGTTATAAAGTAGTGTCGCGAGATGCTGAGATTTTATTTTTCGCGTATTGAGAGTTGCCGAGCTTTCTCTTAAGCACGAGTTCTAAGTTTTAACCGTGTTTATTTAATTCTTGTGTGAAATTTTGTGTGTTTTGTTAGATTTTTTATATAAGTCTGTAAATGAATAATTTGTTAGATATTTGTGAATTTACCTAAGAATCTCATTAATTATTATTTTGTTATCGATAGCATAAATTTTGAGCAATTTTTTTTTATATAATATCAGTTTTAGTAAAAATTAAAAAAAAATGAAATATTTTTCTTTTAATGTAATTGATGTATATTTTTTTTAATATCAATGAGATTATTATTCTATACTTCTTAAATTGAATCGACTTTAAAATATTTTTACACACATGACCCGAATGTTCTTGGCCAAAGGTTCATTGTTTTATGAAATTTAGATTTTATTTACTAATGCATGTCATCATCGAATTATTTGCAGTTTTTAGCTTTGTTTTAAGTGAAAATTATATTATAATTTTAAATAAATTACGTTTTTATGTAATATGCGTATTTCAGTTTTACGCCTTAACTTTCCCCTCAGTCACTCTCGAATGAAGAGTTTTAACAAAAGCGAATAAGTTATTGTGAAGACTACTACGAGTACTTTAGTTTAAATGACCTATATTATCTCGCAAAGCTCAATAAACTACTAATATATAAATACTTATTATTTCAATGTACTTTTTCTTTTTTCTACTATGTCACTAAATATCACTTTAGCTTTGGTAGTATTTATCCATGATGTAAAATAAAAAAAATACGTTTGTGTGGAAGGTAGTTGAACAGAAAGCATGGTCCTTTAACGTTTTTAATTTATTATTTAATACATTTTAGTACACAAAAATGGGGTAGTGAAGTGAGTCAAAAAAATTGAAACACTGTATTCTAACGTGATTAGGATACAATGGTGTCTTAAAACCTGCTTATACGAGAAGACTAATCTACACGGAATCCATGAAAAAACAATAGAACTAAAACACTCCCATGTTTGATTGTGCGATTTGTCAAAATATGTGGTCGCCATTAAACAAAAAAAATACAATATAGTAAATTTTCTCCTTTATTTATAATACATCTCTATCCATCGTATGTCAGTACTTATATTTAGCGTGTTTGGCGTGCTTCCTGTGGTGCGGCGGCGTGGCCGGCGACCGCCGCCGCCTGTCTCTGTCTCGCTCCCTCTCTCTCTCACGTTCCCGCTCTCTATCTCTTTCCCGCTCTCGCTCTCTCTCGCGTTCTCGTTCCCGGGATCGATCTCTGTCACGTTCTCGTTCACGCGACCTTGATCGGGATCTAGACTTGCGATCGCTGTAACAATAAATTAAATATAAAAATAAAGTCAAAAAGTTATGATAACATTGTAGTTTACCACAGCTTTAATCAATTTTGTTCACAGAGTTTGTACATAAATATATATATACATATGTAAATATTTACTAATATTTTTAAGTTTTTCAAATACTGGTGACTCTCTCGTCAGAAACATCAGTCTCGTCTCGCCTCGGCGAGTGTCTCGCCAACTGACCTGTGTCTGGAGCGCTTGGGCGGCGGCGACAGCGTGGGCTCGCGCGACTTCTTGGACTTGCGCGAGGAGACGGAGAAGGCGTCGTCGTCGGCGCCCCCGCCCGCCGCGCCGCTCGGAGAACCCTCCTCCTCTTTCACCTCCTTGGCTTCACGTAAAGCCTGTTTTAACATGAGAAGAACGTTATCCGTTATTTTAAACAGTTAATAAAAATAAGGCTGATGTAAATTAACATAGTAGTTATTTATAGAAAATTAGAATTTTTATTAAGTAAATACATATCCTTCAAATATATTTGACGTTAAAAAGGGTTGAATTGCACTAGCAGGATAAGTAAAGATACCTTCTTAATGAGCTTGCGTCGGTAGTGCTGTATCTGCGCCTGCGCGGCGAGGCCGGGCCGCAGCGCGCGCGCGCCCGCCTCCAGCTCGTCCGCGTACTTCAGCACGCGCACCTCGATGTCGCGCAGAGTCTCGCGCCGCAGGCTCGCCTCGCCCCGCGCCTCCCCGCGCACCTCCCCGCCCCGCACCTCCCCGCGCGCCTCCCCGCCGCGCCCGGGCGGCGAGTCTGCGCCCGCGCTATATAACGTGTGGAATATAATAAAACAATTTATTCTAAGCGTATTAACCCAATAAGATTTCCTTTTAATCGAAATTAATTGTCAAACAAGTATTATATACCACATTACATTACATAATTTATTGTTAGTAACAATTTTTTTTTTTCCAAATTTTTCCTTTTTAAATTATTTCATTTATTGTTGTATTAAAGGTGATACAACAATAATGAAATAATTTAAACAGAATATTATATACATATATAGGAAATATGATATTTTAGCGTAAATTGTTGTAATTTTATAATTCATAATGTATGAGTTAAATAAAAACAAATTACGTACCCGTCGTCGGGCTGCGCGGGGTCGGGCGTGCCGCCGCGCGGCGCCGGCGCGGGCTCCACGCTCTCCCAGCGCGACGGCACAAACGCGGCCGCGGTGCGCTCCGTCGCCTCCGCCTCCAGCGGCACGCCGTCGATGTCCTCGTCCACTGACACACGACACACGTAAAACATCATGTTCAAACAAATATTTAAATAACAATAATAATATGCACGCTTTTTAAAGGAGTATAGACCACCACCCTGGCCAAATGTGACTTTCGAAAATTATTTCGATTCTAGCAAACATCACAATATAAATTATATATGCCTGCATGCCCGCGAAGACCTAGCAAGTTTTCGAATGACACGGTGGACTATGACCTGATCCTCCTTATATTGAGAGGTCCGTGCCTAACTAGCAGTGGGACGTTACAAACATTCAATACATATAAAATAGCGTATTTGTAGCACACACCCGGTATGCCATCGATATCGTTGAGGTCGGCGAGCACGGGCTGCACGGGGCGCTGCTCGGCGAGGCGGCGCAGCGCGGCGCCGTCCAGCGGGCCGGAGCCGCCCGAGCCGCCCGACACGCCCGACGCGCCCGACCCCGTCGACCCCGCCGGCGACACCGTGCCCTCCAGCGCCTCGCCGCTTGGCACGCACGGCGGGTCACCCTCCTGTGGGACCAATTAATTATTAAATAAATGATTTATGGCACACTTAATGATTCGCACTGTAGAAGGTGTTGTGTAAAACTCATAAATATAACCTAAATCGCCAAAAATATCACTACTTTTATCTAAAATAGACACACACATACAAGACATTAAAGGGAACTGAATTATAACTTTATAAAACGTAAAAAAAATTATTATATATTAAAAAGACGAAATAATAATAAACATAACATGTACTAATTATTATCTTCAAAACGTGTATAAAGAATGAAGAATGTTAAAAGTTATATGAAAATAAAAAAGCTATATAAACATTTAAAAAAAGATAAACAGGTTCGCTGAGTTATTTTTGGTAGTTCTTTTCAGAACTAAGTTTGACTGAATTTTTAACAAATAATAAGTTTTTTTTTTATTTCAATCAAGATGCTTATAAGAGGAAATTGATACTATGAATTGAAATGCAGATTTCCTATTTCATCTAATCTGGAGAATCGCTACATAATTGCTGAATTTGTATTTAACTTTAATTATTTACTGAAGAACTGTAAATATGTTGGTTAGTTAAAAATAAATTAATGTTTAAAGTAAAATATAGACAATTATAGAGTACCTTCTCCTGTCCCAGGAAGACGTCGTTGATGTGCAGCAGGAAGTCGGTGGGGTAGACGGCCCAGTCGGCCCAGGCCTGCAGCACGCGCGTGACGCGCGCGCGGAAGCCCTCCTGCTGCAGGCGCGACGGCATGCGCGCCCACGCCAGGTGGCACTCGCGCATGATGTCCACCAGCCGCTGCTGGAACCTGGCCGGTGGCGGGCATTCAATTACGTCAATGTAAAGGAAACGTGTTGTTTTTTTAATGAAGAATAAATGAATATTATTTAAGTATGTAGAATAGTTATTATGTGTAATTTTATAAACAAAGAATTAAATAAAAACATTAAACATAGAAAGAATCGAATTAAATCGGAAAGGAAAATAAATTTCTATAGTACATTGAAATAAAGATCATAACTAAAGGCTTGGAGGTTTTTTTTTTAAATACGATAAAAAACAAAAAAGTCACAAAAGTTTAAAATCGTGTAATTAAGTGAGATGAAATCATTACGATAAGTAATGTAATTTATCATCCATAAGCCGCGGAGTGGAAGTGCAATAATTTGCTATATATTATACTAGCATTGCCCGCGGCTCCGCCCGCGTTCAGAATACCAAAGACCAAATTCTTAGGTTTTACATATTAGTATATTCTTAATTACAGTTTTTGTATTTTTTCTCAGAAATGAGATTTTTTTTCGCGGTAAAAAGTATCCTATATGTTGACTCGGATAATCAGCTACCACCATACCAAATTTCATCCAAATCCCTCCAGTGGTTTTTCTGTGATGCGGTAACAGACAGACAGATAGACAAAAATTCTAAAAATTATAGATTCGGCCTCTGTATCGATAATAATGTCTATTTCAATTAGATTTTCCAAAAAATATTTAATGTAGAGATTCAACTCTGAATTTTATTTATTGTATAGAATTTTATTATATGTATAGCATTTTATTATATATCGAACCATCGATTTTGCCATTTTTTATTAGAATAAAGGCTTTGTGGAAGGATAAACTGACAATTTATCAAAAATCGATATTTATATTACAATGGTTTCGGGTCAGATGATGGTCATTTCTGAGACATGGCCGAGAGCCAGAGTAACCTTAAAATTCTATATCTTCGTGACTTATTGAAAAATCTTCAGTCATTATTTCTTTTATGTTCAGCTTAAATTTTTACTAACAATACGATTACACAAAATGTTCATAACTAGCGTAACTGAGGCAGCACGTCGCACGTGTGCGTGTGCTTACTCACGCGGCGCGGTAGGCGGAGGCGTTGGTGAGCTTGGCCTGCGCGTTGTGCAGGATGTCGGACAGCAGGTAGAGGCGCGCCACGCGGCGCGGCGGCGGCGTGCGCGCCTGCGCCAGCGCCTCGGCCAGGCAGCGCGCCACCTCGCCCGCCGCCTCCGCGTGCTCCAGGCACCACGCCATGGCCGCGCCCACGCTGCGCCGCGCCGGCGTCAGCGCGCGGATGATCTCCTCCAGCCGGTCGCGCTGGCTGCGGCACACGACACATATACAGCCTCATTTTTTATTCACTGAAAACCTTTTGGGAATATACTATTGTAAGAAAAAAAATCTTAAATATTTTTTTATTACACCTTCTAAACGGTAATAGTCCAGCATTAGCAAAAGGAAGCGCGTGACCGGTGGAGTGGGAGGGGTGGAAGGGTGTAGGAAACGGCGCTCACTCATTTAAACTTCGCCAGATGCTAGGCCTTTACCATTTGGAAGGTATAATAAAAATATTTTAATTTTTGTATAAAATATATAAAAATTTAGAAAATATTTTTTTTTTGTTATAGATGTTGTTGTTATGATGTAAATAGTATATTCCCAAAAGGTTTTCAGTAAATTAAAAATGACCCTATACATATATTAATATTATAAAGAGACCGAGTTTGTTTGAACGCGCTCATCCCAGGAACTATTCATCCAATTTGAAAAATTCTTATTGAATTAAATATTCCATTTATTGAGGATGGTTATAGGCTATACGAGTATCATACTACTATCCATGGGAACGGAGCAGTAACCATAAATGTCAACAACAACAAATCGGGCAGACTTCCATTCATTATTGTAAAACTGATAAGAACTATCGGAAGTTTGAACGCGGTCGAAGCCGCGGATACTTCTAGTATATAATATATGTGTATGCCCGACCTATCCGAGTAGCTTATATGTTCATCTATCTATGTATAGATAACATATAAATCCATATAACCGTTTTAGTGTGAAGGAATAACAAACATATACATACATGTGTATATATGTTGTATGTATGTATGTACATACAATTTACCTAAATCCAGATAAAATATAGGTTAACTACTATCTAGAATACAAACTATCTCAAATCGATTGAACTATTAGAGCTTTATCTGTATAAATAAAGGCAACAAAAAAGTTTCTCCTATTAGCATTCAATAACTTTTAACAATTATTTATTCAATGTAACCGTTTATGCAAACTAAATAGACTTTACTAACGAAATAATTGATTTAAATTTATAGAAACATCTTAATACAATCATTAAAATTGGGTGATTTATTGAATTAGACATTTCTATGGTAAGATATGGCATTTGAGTAACAAAATATTATCATATAAAAACGCTTTTTTTTTAAGAAGTAATCATAATAAATATTAAATGACCCCAAAGAAATAAAAAAATTATAATCAATTTACTTGTTAGACAGTGTGCCGCGAATGTTTTCTTTAGCGTCCTCTTCCTCCACCAACTCATCGGGCATGCCGGCGGTGTATAGATTCATCACGGGCGGACGCCATACTGAACCACCTGGACAAAAATGCACTTGTTTATTATTTCATCAATTCCCAAGAGTCATTTATATCGTTTAATTATTAAAAAAATAAAAATTTTAAGTATAGATCAGATTCATATGAGAAAAAGTAGTTTGGAACAGAACAAATACGTATACGTTCATAATATTCTATTTCATAAGTTACTAAAAGATTTTTTTGTACTCATAAACTCGAATTATATAAATATTTAAAACAACACTAGAATAGCATGTCAATCAACTGTGATGTATGAGATTCATCAAAGCCGACAAAAAAGTTCCACTATACCGAGCAACCTTCACGTCTTCTCCACTTTACGTGACATTGGCAAAGTACTTTCTTTCTCAACTGGCACGCTTTGAAGTAATTAACAAGAGAATTGAATCAAGTTCCAGATTAAAATCCTCCAAGATTTGAATACATATCTAGCTAGATAAACGATTAGCAAAAGTGAAGCTAACAAAAAGTATTTAATGTTATACATTAAAAGGATAATTATTTCGTACCTTTAAACATCCTAAAGTCCTCCAAGTTCCACTGCTTGGGCGTGTCGCCCTGCAGCATGGAGAACAGCTTCCAGCGGTAGTACACGTGCGCCGGCGACTGGTTCTCGAACAGGAAGCGGAAGTACGGGTTGTTCATCTCCTTGTTCATGATGATGGCCTCGAACATGGGACCCTCGCGGATCACGAACTCCACCATGCGGTGGATCAGCATTAGGATGTTTCTGGAATCGATATATTGTGTACTTAGTTTTCACTTTATGTTTCATATGAAAAATCGATACATATTATTCATCGATTATTACACATTATATATCGATTACTTCAACAAATAGATTAAAATGAGTTACAACTCAAGGGTTTTGGTTTCCATATGAATTTTAAAAAAAAAGTTCTAAAAAAGTGTAATCAAAAACTAACCTTTCCGTTGGTATCACAACTTTGACTATGGATTGTGATAAAATCTGAAAAGATATTCAAACCATCAAATATAAACACAATAAAGAACAAGTATTTGATTGTTTATTACATATGGAATCACGGTTATATTATAAAATTTACCTGCTCATAGTTCTGGCGGTCTTCTGGATCACTAGGATAATATTCTCCTGAACGCACTCTCGGTATCTAAACAAATATTTTATGTATGAACAATGTATTAGGGTCATTTAACAACTAATGTCAAATAAAAACAGATTTAAGGTGTCTGCCCACTACACCGTCTCATACCATGACCGTGCTAGGACCGTGTCAGTCAAAAAAATATTTTTTGTATTGAAAAGTATGAGACTACCCACTAGACCGTTCCATCACCGTCGCGTGCCGTGCACGGAGGGTCGCGGGCGCGGTGCGTGCAGGCGGGGCAATGGTGAGCATACGCAGCACTAAAACCGTTATTTAAAGATATGATACGCTGTTGATACGTTCTAGTGGGAATAGTAGTCTGTGCCATAGTTGTTTCCGTGCCTGATACGTTCATAACACGGTCATGGTAATTATTACTATTATTTTTTTCTTTTTGACGCTATAAGCCAGCGAACTAATTCGTACAGTCGCCTGGATTGGAAAATCGTGCGGGGGGAGACGCGGGTGAGACGCTCCCGACTGTCATACTTACTTTTATAAGACAGTTAGGAGACTTGTTTTAGGGTTGTTGAGTACAACTAACTTGCCATAAATTTCTACCGTCATAATAAAGAAGGCCCTAACTAACAATTTGATTAAAAATGACTTTTAAATGCAGATTCGGAATCAGCAAAAAAAATGCTACTTCATAGTCTTACTCATAAAGCTTTAAGTCGTATGAATGTGGATATACCGATATATACCATATGATATCCAGATATATACCAAAATTATTTTCATCATAACTACATCAAAACTGCTACTAAGTACTAAGACCAAACCTCAAATATCTCGAAATAAACTTTGACGAATATTCGGCCTTCTTTTTTATGATGTCAGATTTCCATTAAAATCAATGTAATTCTAAATGTAGATAGTTTATGTGTCACCTTCCCCATGAGGTGTTTGGGCGGCTGGGCGTTGAAGGGCAGGCCGGAGGGCGGCGGCGGCTTGCAGGGCTGCTGCAGCGACGGCGGGATGTAGATGGGCACGGGCGGGATCACCACCGCCTTGCCCCACCCCAGCTTCATCTCATAGTTCATTATCTCCTTACCTTACATTGTATATACTCATATTAACTCTCCAGTAAGACTATTTTGTTTTATTAATACAACAATTGAATTGTTTCGTGTTAAAGTTAAATAATATGGACCTGTTTATTTTCCTTTAAATTTTCAATAACAAAACCAAATTAATAATACTTAAAATAAAAAATTTTAATTCTCTATTTGTCATTAAAACATTTGACTTCATATAAGATGACAAAAAATCTTATTATGCATGAACTAAAATCTTCCATTAGAACAAAAATAGATATTTTTAACTAACCGTTAATACATCTGAGCGCCCTCTCGCCATCTTTCCTCGACATAAAAGCAACGAAGCCGCAGTTGCGTCCGCGCGCCTTCTCTTCGTCGGACCGGGGCCACATTATTTTAATACTAGCCAGAGGACCGTACCGACCAAATATCTCCATTAGCTGTTGTTCTGTTATCTGTAGAAAATAAAAAAATGGATTTCTATAATAATATAAATTGATAAAATCTACATAGGCTTATAATAATTGCATATAATAATAATATATAATGTCTTCCAGATTAATTTTGGCCATAGCAGCCATCTCACTGAGGCTAGCCGCCTATGCAGGAGATATTATAGTGCACAAGACGTGAAGCACCATTTACGAATACACTTTTTATTATTTATACTCTCAAACTCTAGTAGGAAGAGAATTTGCCACTTCCAATGACAAATTAGGTGTAGGCCCAATGGCTTTAAGTGTTCCTCAAGGCACATGGATGTGTAACACCGACAACTACCCAACTCCAGGCTGGTACTGGAAAGTCCTTAACAGTAAATGCTAATACATAACTTTTACTAACCAACCTGGGACACAAATCCAGGCCTTCAGATCTGCAGCCGTACATGCTAGCCATTAAACCAACTAGCCAGTTAATTGTTTATATTTAAAACTAGATGAAATACAAGACATAAATCATTTAATACTGTAGCTTATGCTTTGATATCACTATTTATTTTAACTAAAACAAACTTGCCTTAGGGTTTAAATTGCCCAGGTAAAGGTTGGTAGTATTGGGGTCACCAGTATCATAAGAGCCAACATCGGGTATCATATCCAGAGGAGGTTCAGAGCCCACCACACCACGGTCGCGCAATACATTTTTGTATTTATGACGCTCTGAGCGTTCTTCTTGGATCCTAAAAAATTATCAGGAAATAAATTTGTCATATTTTATAGATTTATGGATAAAATAATTATTTATATTGTCTATCCTAACATTACCTCTAATATGGAGTTGTCTAAAGAAAATTAAAATTTCCATGTAGCAACACATACTAAAACAAGGAAACCGAGATTTCTATAATATTACTCACTGTCTTAATTCTTCCTTGAACAACTCTAGGTTACTCTTTTTCTTGTCTCCACTTTTCTTATTGCGGCCTATATTTCTGCCCAAAGGCTCTGATCTGAGTGCAAGACTCCGCACCACTTCTGCCTCTGTGACTGTGCGCTTATCATCCAAGCGTGACACTGGCTTATATAATTTGCCACGTTCTGATGTATCCTCCTCTGTTAAAAAAATATGGTATCAGTTTTAATTTATGTTAGCTCAAAATAAGATCTAGCACAATTAATAGTAAATACAGTTATTTTTTCAACTCTTTCAAACTTGTCACTGTTTTACATTAATTATGGTACAGAATTGATATTTAGTTATATTCTACATTTAAATAGTTTTCAATAGAAATTGACCAAAAAATATACTTACTTCTAGCACCTGCATCATATGTCCCTGCTTTCACCCAAACTTTAGATGTAGTACTGGGCACTTCTTGGAATGTCTCCACAAATTCTTTAAATACCTATAATAAAATTTACAATTATACTACAGAATGCAAATTATAAAATTATTATTAATTGTAATTATAACACTAAGTATGTGATAATTAAGAGAAGATTATTTATGTTATTAAATAAACAAATAACTTTCAGAAATCCTAATTAGTTGTTCAGACATTTATCTAGTCTACGATTACATTTGTATGATTTGTGCGATACTTGCTTTCATGACAATAATAATTTTGATATGTTGTTAGTTTTAGCGATTGGATGCAATTTTATTTAAAGATCCCCATTTTATAAAATTTAATATCAGTATAAATGTTTAAAATAATATGGGAACTAGATTTCCTATATTTACCTCAGAGCCGATTGCAGCTTTCCCATTGACAGACTGCATGAACTAAGTCTTTGAAAGTTAAAGATTCAAAAGTGCAATTTAATTCTATGTTCATTTTAATTTTGATTCTACACCGAAACTATATCAGTATTAAGCCGAAAAATATCTCAAACACATAATAATAATGCTAACAAGTAACATAACAGCATATTATAGACTTACATGTGCAGCAGCTTCTTCTTCTTCTTTTTTACGTAACTCCTCGAGTTCCCTTTTAGATAAATTTCGACTACTCATATTGGATACGAATATTTTGTATCTAAATAAGAATTTATTTATATCATATCACTAAAATAATATATAAGTTGTATGTAGCTTGCATTTCACTAATCACTTACACATCAATAACTTCAGCTAATCTGTTTAACTTATCGAATTATTGTTATTCATTTTTGGTTTTAAATTTTCTGTACTTTAACTACTTTTTTGCTTTTTTGATATTCTACAAAATAATAGAAATATAACCTGCAAATCTACGTTGTAAACATAGATTACGAAAACAATTGTCAATAAAGGACGCCAATTTAGAAATGGCAACATTGATATTTATCTTGGATAAAAATTAAAAACGACAAAATATCGGTATGTATAAAAAAGTTTATAACGTATTTTTGCGCCTATATTTATAAATCTACATCTTTTTCTATATATATAATAAAATTCTGAGTCGAATCCTTACATAAAATATTTATTGGAAAATCTTATTGAAATAGTCATTATTATCGATACAGAGGCGAAAACGACTATAGTTATCTTAGAGTTAGCATATGTATACATTACTCTGAGATTGTTATCTATATCATACTGATACACCATATTTCCTTCAATTTATTTTTGTAGAAGTTATTTTTCTAATATTTACGTTTGGAGAGAAATATTAAATTCGTTACTTCTATTAAAATAAATAAAAACAATTAATTTGTAACCATTCAATTGTTCTTTTTTTTTACATTATTGAAGTTAAACATTAAATTCAACAACGTACCTACTTCGCATTTGCCCTCTGCTTCTCTTTAATGAAATATCCGTTTTTCCGGTTTTAGTGCAATAAAGAATGTAATATATTCAGCCCTTTTTAACGTCCCACTGCTGGGGTTGGGCCTCCCTTCAGTACGAGGGGGATCAGGCCATAGTCCACCACGCTGGCCAATTGCGGGTTGGCGGACTTCACATATCTTTTATATACTTGCTAGATTTTCTCAGATAAGCAGGTTTCCTCATGATGGTTTCCTTCACCGTAAGGCAAGTGATAATCAAGTTAGAAGTGATTAGCAAATAAAACGATCAGTGGTGCGAGACCCGGGATTTGAACCCGCTTCACTCGATTTCCCAAGCGAGCGCGTTACCACTGGGCTACCACTACCTAACAATAAAGAATACTACAAATAATGATAATAAGGGAAATAACAAATACATTACAATAATAAAACAACATAATTATTGGTTACATATTTATTGAAAAAGTATACATCAAAAAGTTTTCGATGTAAAATTAAAAAAATGTGTGTAGTTTTGCGCATTTCATGTTTACAACATTTTCGTGCTTAACGCTCTGCTTACTCTATGGACACCAATCATCGTGTACTTATTACAATTTTGCAAACATGGTTATAAATGAACTAACAAATGATAAGTGGTTCATGCGCATATCCTGCACGTGAACACTAAAGTTATGACATTTCTGTTGATTTTGCATCTTGTACTGTACTCAAGCGTGTTATATTTAGGCTATTTAAGTGCAGGTCTTTTACTTTCTTCTATTTCATTTTATATGGTTACTAAAATACATTTTACATAATATTCTAAAAATTAAAATATTAAATAATAGTAATACAGATACAACTGAATATAATATAATAGTAACATTTTCCATTGTATGAAATTTGATCGTAAGTTCAAATTCCTATAATCGGAATGCCAACAGATTAAAAATGTATTCACATCATATATACAATGTCGGTTAAAATGCAATAATTATTTAACTGTCAGTTTATATTAAAAATAGCTGCATAATGACAAACAATAAAATAAACTAGTGTTGTTCTCCGACGTCCATGTACTATAAACGGACATTGGACATAACTAAAAGTTCATAAATATAGCAAACTATTTGGTTGAATGTAAAGAGTAAAGCAAGGTATAACTCAAAATTGGAAAATATTTCACAAAACTTTTGTTTAACTAAATAAAATCATGTGTCCTTATGCGTCTTGATTAATTATTTATCAAATTTAAGTATTTATCAAATTTCCCACTTTGAGCATAACAATGAAAATTGGTTATTGTTTATAGGCGGCAGATTAAAAATGTAAAAATAATGTATGAAGTAGATAATATTAAAATACTTGTTCCTTAAGCAGATAAAACATTAATAGTAAAATATTTTGTGCATTACAAAGCTTAGTCTACAAGTAAACATGCCACATAATTTATAACTATTTACTGTACAGAAAACAAATGTACATAGTCACAGATTAAATAATCTTCTTAAGATAATGTGTTCCGTACTTCAGCGGTATTGAGCCGAATTTTAATAAATTCATAATAAAATCAATTTCTTAAGGTATGACGGGATTTATTTCATAAGTGCTATTGCAGAATAAATTTACTTCATTTAAAAAAAAATAAAAAAATGTGTGCTTATTAATTCATAATGTTTATTTATCTATAACAATCCGCGTAGAGGTATTACAGAGGAGTAAATAAATAGAAAATTTTGAATTTTGCGGTAAATAATTGACCGAAATACTTTAGTACAAACATCAAAATGAATATAGAAAATATCTCCATATTAAGATATCATAAACTCATATTTCCACGTAGTTCTAAGTAGTTTATCCCATCATCATGGCATATTATAAGACACCGCTACCCGAGAAAGTAACATTAAGGTACAAAACACGTATTCTATAAATGCACGTTAACAAACACATTGTACTATAATTTGCTAATAAACAAAGTCGATGGACAATGATTTTTTTTTATATTAACATAAAGGAAGTAAAACCTAAACTTGTACTCGCATATTTGATCAATAATCCTATTAAAAAATAAAATTTCCACATATAATATACACCAATAATTATATAAAATTTTCATTATATTAAAACGCTTCCCACGTTTTAGATAGGTACTTGAAATGTAGCGTCCATATTGTTTTTCTCTAAATGCAATTTCCCGCCAAATATAACGCTACCGCCACACGTTAAGACCAACTGTCGACCATTATAATATATAAATAGAAAAATCTTCGCGAGTGGTATTGAAGAGTAAATTTAATAAAATTAACATTTATTTCATAACATTTAGATGTAATAATCATCAACATATACACTGTACAGGGATCGTGAGCGGACATTGTCTTTACATATATTCACTAGTTATCGTTTGCGTACTGAGCGCGGGCTCAGTCGCTCTCCCAAATAGTCTATGGTAAGGTGGCATATGTATAGTTCTGACATGTGTGTGGTCTGTGGTCGTGCTCAAGCGTCCGCGTCCGCGCCCTTCAGCCGCAGCCGCGCGAAATCCTCGAATATGATATCGTCGTCTTGCTCTTGCCCGTTTTCGTCCCTGTAAAAATATAAAAAATATTTTTTTATTTAAAAAAAAAACATTTATTTTTCGGATTTTTAATCTACGGCAATGGTAGCACAGGGACAACATAATCGTGTAACCAAGTAAAGCGAGTTTGCGCTTTTCGGTAAAAGAAAACCGGTGTTTCGATGAGGAAACCTGCGATTATACTTGTAATTGGGTATAATAAAGTACCTTTCAAAGATGTGTCATTAAAAAATATTAGATGTAGATATTTTATACACGTAGATATTTGATTAAAAATGAATATGGTACACGTACGGATGCGGATCGAGCTGTATGAGGTCGTGGTCCTGCGGCGCGGGCTCGGGCGCGGGCCGCGGCGCCTCCTCCTCCGGCTTCGGGTGCATCAGGATGAAGGGCAGCTCGGCGCTAAGCTCACTGTACACAACAATATTGGTATTATGTAGCAAGTAAATACTTCAACAAATTTTAGTACGTTTTCGAAAGGCATGTAAGATCCACCAATCCACATCAAGGAGAGGTCCATGCCCATTAGTGGGATGTTAATAAGGGCTGAATTCAATCGAATATTTTAAAAGAAAACTGTCTTAAAAAATCTTGCTTTGGTATTGTTTATAATTTAATACTTTCTTAGATTTACGCGAATATTTGACATTTTAAATAAAACTATCTTTTCGGATTTTTTCGTCGATTTATTTGGATTTTTTGTTCCCGACGATTCGAATGCTTTACAGCATTCATGGTCACGGGAGAGGCTGAGGTGTTACATGTCTCTAAGGTATAGTTGTTACAGACAGCCTGCCTACATGTAAAGCACTCGAAATTCGTTTATAATTTATAAACGAAAGGAAAATAACATTATTAGAAAGGAAATGAAAACATGAAAAATTAAGTGATGATGAAAATAAAGTGAACATATTGCTCAAGTGAGGAAATATCTAGTAAAATAATTTGTTTATATTTTATTAAAAAAAAGAGAGAGAGGGAGAAATACCTAACATGGTTATAAATTAAATAAATATTATAAAATAATTTTTAATTTATATTTATATTTTTATGAATAAAGTGACTTAACGGTAAAATTAATATTATTGCGACAAAAGCGTAGGGTCCTTTGTACAATGTTTTTATGTGTACTAACTCTGCGTTTAGAAATCGTACCAATGGAATATTTAGTAGCAAGTGATATCAAGCACCGCGCGCTTTTTTCACAATAACACAAATTTTCTTGTTTATCACTTTATTCTTATACTAAAAATTATTTTTTATTAGTTCGGTTTATCATTAAATCGTGTTTTTTTAGTTTTTTAAATGATTATTTTTTTGTATTTTTATAAAAAAATTATTGTATTGTCATCAGTTCTTGATAAGTGTACTAAATTTTAAGTTAATCTAACGTTTTTAAGTGGGTAAAAATAGCGTTCAAAGATTCCTTTACATAGATACTCACCCTCCAAGTGGTCCGAGGCATAACTTAACCTTCACTTTATATTGTACTATGATTCCTAAGTTTTCGCGCTGCGATGGGTCTGCAATGCTGGAAATAGTAAGTGGAAATAATCAATTAATGTACGATAATAATACAAATTAACGTCGTTATATCTTCAAATAAAACAAAATAAAACTAAAAACATTAAAAGTCTAAGTATACCAATTTTAGTACATAATATCTTCATTGTATTTTTTTTGTGTTCTGATGCAGTCACCTACTTAGCTGCAGATGGCGCTGCTATCGAGATCCAATTTTTTTTTATTTTCCGACCAAACGAAGCCTATGGAAGAACAAGCTCTGTCTCTGGGTTTTTTATAAATAACAACTAAAATATCAGTTGTTTCAAGCAACTTACAGTGTGCTAGAAGCAAGATTGGTGTCTTCATGTTTAAGCTGCCCATCGAGTGCGAGTCCCCATTTGTCCTTGTTGTTCGCAAGCAGCGGCGTCAGTGTGAACACCTTGCTCAGAGTGAACCCGGGCCCGACCGGACAACCTTCCCTGGAACCAATATTTCATACTTAGTCTAAGGAATGAGAGGTCAACATAAACTGGTATTTAATTATTTTAGGGGCAACACACATTTTATATTTATAAGGTTTCACCCATACTCATATAAAACATCGTGCAGTCAATATATTTGGAATTCAAATCAATCAAATACACTATTGAGCCCATCCGATAGAGTTGTTTATACAAGAGCTTAAAAACCGAAATTCAGGTAGTAGTAGGATATATAGGATAAAATAAAAAAATCAAGTTTATTTTTTTAATAATTTCAAACATTCTTTAGGCACTAATTGTTTGGTGCTTCGTTATTTTACAAAGTGACATTCTTTCGCAATTTTAGCTAAACCAAAATTAAAGTATTTTTTATAAAAAGTTAGCCAAATCAAATATGACAATAAAGCTACAGCCAACACCATACGATTAGTATATAAAATTTGGAATAATAAGTATTTAAAATTTGGCATATTTTAAACATGCGTATTGAAACCACGCGTAATCACTTACACGGACTTTTTTAATTTCTTACTGAACAATCCGATCAGGGGAACTCTATTTATGCTCCAAAGTGACTCCTCCCTGAATAAAAAAATCTAATGTCATCATTTGATCTTATACACCCCTTATAATGACTGGCGTAAAAATAATTTAATAGTATTGGGGGTTAAAATTTAGACAAAAAATGGTACGGTATATCTTTATAAGTGTTTATCAACTCAATAATAATAATCATTAAAAAAAAGTTTTGGCAATTTCTGTGGAGTACGTCGTAAGATTAGATATACCTAGGTATCAGGTACCTAATAGAAAGCTCAATGTGACTTTTAAATTGTACAAATAGTTATTTAAACTGGAAAATACAGCGAAATCATATTTCAACCTTCCATTTCTACGCACTCTCTTAATAAGTGGGTCATAACGGATCATAGAAGTTGTGGACAAAATGAAAAAAAAAAACAAACGCGACCAAAGCCGCTGTTATTGAATAGACCACATAAAGTAAATCGCAACTGGCTATTATTGCGTTGTTGCAAAACTTCGCATTTCCGAGATCGAGCACCGTCCAGACGTACACGGATGAGTGACAGATGAATACGCGGTATTATATTGTCGGTGCAGTATTTGTCCGTTCGTTGCGAGAGTTGTGACGGCGGCGAGTCATCAATCGCCGCAACTCCGCGGACTTAGCAGACTTTAATCTATACATACGAGTATAATAAAATTGTAACTAAGCCGAATCTGTACATTAAATATTTTTTTGGAAAATCTTATTGAAATAAACATTATTATCGATACAGAGGCCGAATCTATAGTTTTTAGAATTTTTGTCTGTCTGTCTGTTACCGCATCACAGAAAAGCCACTGGAGGGATTTTGATGAAATTTGGTATGGTGATATGCTGGTTATCCGGGTCAACATACAGGATACTTTTTATCGCGGGAAGATATTTCATTTCTGAGCATTTCAAAAACTGCAATGTACCTAAGAGTATACCTACCAATATATGTAAAACTTAAGAATTTAGTTTTTGATCATCTGAACGCGGGCGGAGCCGCGGGCAATGCTAGTTTTTAATAATCTTTTCGAATATGACATATTTTTGGTTCTCTCCCGTTATCATGATTGCTGTAAAGCATTGTAAACGTCGGAAACCAAAAAACTAAATAAACCTGTGTACTTTACGATAGTTCGGTAGTTGCTTGGGGATTTAGAAATGAATGTTTTTGTCATTAAAATATTCAAATTGAGTTATGATTTGTTAGTAACATGAACATTTCAGATTAGCTTTTTAATATTCTTTTTGTCACTTCACTTAATATAACTTTTATATTGGATTTTAGATTAACTTTTTTTCCTTTGCCACTTTATCATTATTGGCTAAAGTCAGCTTAAGTTAAGGTTTTTCTTTGCTTTTTACCAACCGCATCTACTAGAGTAAGATCTTTTAGTTGATCATCAACAATATCTTGTTCAGAGTTTTTAAATGTGTGATTCCAAAATAGCAATCTAAAAAGTATGGTTATTTGCAAGAAATCTATCAAAGACACCAAAATGTTTGCAGGATATCTTGAAAATAACTGTACACCTCTTTCCTTCTTGCTGGGCATTTTGCAAAGATTGATATCTCAAAAATAACTACATACTAAAGCAAAGCATTATTTTATCTATGAGCTTGTATCCGCTAATCTTCACAACGACTGAACCGACACTAAAATTAAAAAAAAAAGTATTTTTCATTCTAATAGACTTTTACAGGTAATAATAATAATAACCCTTTATTATACACGCAAAAACAAAAGAAAAAAGAAAAAATACAGAGTATAGGAAAATGTACAAGAGGCGGCCTTATCGCTAATAGAGCGATTTCTTCCAGCCAACCTTTCAGTGTATATACATAATCACTCTCTAAATTAAATGTCATTAAAGTAGGTCTGTGTAAGGTTCGGTTAGTCTAAGTTAGTTCAACTGAAGTTTACTACAGCATCTAACTTTTAAGTAGTTAGTTTTTTGAAATTAAAGAGTAAAAAGCTTACCTACTGTAAAAACGAGACTGCTTGAGTTACATCATAATTTATTTCCGATCAATTTAGATTTGCGCTCTGGCTTTTCGATTATTGTATCGGACTTTCAGTGGCAGCTAGACGATTTTGTCAAAAAGGGCTAAAGTAAGGGTTTATGCACACGGCGGCTTTATAACGTGCTGTTGACGCGCAATGAACAAACTTTAAACGCGTGCTTGTCGCGTTTATAAAACGTCGTGTGCATAAGCCCTAATTTAATTTCTTTCAATTTGCGCATATTATAACAGGCCTCACTGTCAGCTTACAGACGATTTAACGAAAGGGGCATCTATGTTCCATACATAAACTGAATATAAAACAAAGTCACTGTCTGCGTATGTTTCTCCGCTTACTTCTTCTAAACCACACAATTGATTTATCACTAATAGAAAGAACGTAACGTAACGTAAACGTAACGAAAAGTTGTAAATATTTTGTACAAAATGACTAAGCCTAGACGGTATTTTGTCAAAAAAAAAATCGTACGATTAGATGGCTAACGCTGGCTAAACCTTTAGAGATACATTAAAAAAAAAAATATACGACTAAGTATAAATATTCGATTCTACTGGACGAGCTCCAATTCAAGTTAATAATATAATAGTTATAATTATAAATCAAAATAAAATTTGGTTAATAGGATAAAATTGAATACCTTGGATTTTTTTGTTGAATGTGAAAGGTAAAATAATTAAAATTAAAATTGATATGATTAAAGCAATTACACCTCCTAATTTATTAGGAATAGAACGTAAAATAGCATAAGCAAATAAAAAATATCATTCTGGTTGAATATGAATTGGGGTAACTAAAGGATTAGCAGGAATAAAATTATCAGGATCTCCTAATAAATAAGGATTTGTTAAAGTTAATAAAGTTAAAATAAAAATTAAAATAATAAATCCAATTAAATCTTTAAAAGTAAAATAAGGGTGGAATGGAATTTTATCTAAATTTCTATTAATACCTAGAGGATTATTAGATCCAGTTTGATGTAAAAATAATAAATGAATTATAGTTAATATTAAAATAATAAATGGAAATAAAAAATGAAAAGTATAAAATCGAGTTAAAGTTGCATTATCAACTGCAAATCCTCCTCAAATTCAATTAACTAATATAGTTCCTAGATAAGGAATTGCTGATAAAAGATTAGTAATTACTGTGGCTCCTCAAAAAGATATTAATAAGTATAAATATACTAAAAAAGTTCAGCTCTTAAAAAGGTCTACCGAAAACCCCACGATAGCGTGTGTCTATCTCCTAAGATACGCTCAAAATAACAATTTTTATCTATATAAAACGTCCGTAGGGACACGCCCGAGGAAAGCAAGGGTAATTCGCTAGTAACTAATAAGTAATAACTAATAGTAAAACTAAACACTCACTCGCTCTCCGCCTCGGCCACAGTGCACTTGTACTGCGCGGTGGAGAAGAGGCAGATGTCGGCGAACTGGCGCACCGACACTTTGATCCGCTTCACGGACCTGTTCGAGTTGTTCGCTATGTGCACGTTGACGGCTATGTTCTCGCCGTGGTGGTACAGTTCCTGTGGACAATTACATATAGTGATAAATAAAAATAAAATACTATTATTACTACAATTACATTTGTCATACTTTAGAACAAATATTGTTTGTTATTAGTTTGTACCCGCGGCTTCATTTGCATGGAAGGTGATGATATAGTGATAGAAAACTTAAGTGTTAATAGAGGTGTATAGGAGAGTCACTAAATCACCTGCACATAATAATATTAGTGTGATTATAAAAGGGAGAGTGTTTGTTGAATTTTCTTTCTTTCACGCAGAAATATTTCAAGACAAATATTTCACAATTTGAACGCTATATGTTTGGGTTATATTTTTTACTAATCAAAATCTAGAATTACTAAAATAAAACTATATTTAAATCCTGCAACTAACACTGCGATTTTAGTTCATAATGGTGAAGTGTAAGAAAACATGCAGTGGCTATGGCAAAAATATTTTCCCAATAACTCAAACCTACATTGTAAAATAAAACACTCTATTTAAAATTACAAAAATCCAAAAAGCCTCGCCTTAAAAAAATAATTTATATGGAAATGTTCATTTCAATTAGCATATAAATAAAAAAATTAAAGCAAGCCTATTCAATGAAAAATGTGTAGCCTCGTATAATTAAGAACCTACTTTGTCTAACGAAGCTTCCAGGTACAGTTTGTTTGGGCTCATCATGAACTCCTTGGACACTTCGACGGATGGTTGCTCGCCTTGCTTGCTTGGCGCGTACATGATCTTCCTGATCGCCAGCCGGACTGAATTTCTACAAAACAAACGAATTTATAATACTTAAAGTATTCTATAAAGGCAGTGGTAGCCCAGTGGTAATGCGCTCGCTTAGGAAACCGAGTGAAGCGAATTCAAATCCCGGGTCTCGCACCTCTGATATTTTCATGTGCGAATCATTTCGAACATGATTATCACTTGCATGTTTGAGAAAACTTAGCAAGTTTTAAAAAGACACGTGAAGTCCGCCAACCCGCACTTGGCCAGCGTGGTGATCTATGGCCTGATCCCCCTCGTACTGAAAGGAGGCCAGTACCCAGCAGTTAAAAAAGGACGTTAAAAAAAGGGCTAAATACAAAGTATTCTATTGTGAGACAGTATTTACGCGAAAGATATTATTGTACACAAACGTATGCAAACACATCCACGCTCTATTCATACAATATTATAGCCCCATGGGACGGCTCCGACACGACCGGAGACAAATCATATCACGTGTGACGCGTTTATATTCTCTCGGAGACACATGGATGTAACACTGACAACTACCAATTTTTTACTGATTTTAATCTACATTGTATTAGTTTTTATCTCGTTATATAAAATGGTATATGAATTTATTACAATAATAAATTAGAAATGCGCGACCATAGTTAAGTACCTAATCAAAGCTAGGCTAAATCCAAAAAGGTCATCGTCAAGTTAGAACAATAACAAAATAAAAAAAAAATATTGTAAAACAATGGAGATTTTTTTACATGATACATATCTCGAAGATTACTATAATACTCATTATATAGAAACAAAAACAAATCTATCCCACGGGAACCGTACATTTTCCGGGATAAAAAGTAGTCCCTGTGTTATAATAAAATAAAAGATAAAAAAATCTAAAAGCAACATAGAATACATATGAAATAGTAAACAATACGAAATAAGAAAAACATCTTTTTCTAAAATAATATAATAATACATTTAAAGAATGCTATACTCGTAATAGGCGAAGATGGTGGTTTAAACTTCAAAGGCGTATTTATCAATAACAGACATCTAGAAATAGTATCAATCATGTTTTGTTATTATACTTTTGTTCCATATTTAGCCATTCGTAATTAACTGTGGGAGACCTAAAATAAACAATGAATAAAAAACCTATTTATAAAAAAAAGTTGCTATTATTAACACAATAAATTAACTGTAGCTTCAGTTCGTTAATGGCAATTAACACTGGATTTTCTTTATAAAAACTAAACCTAGTATAAACGTCAGTCTAAATAAAGATCAGTTCTCACCTTTTGTGGGGCTTATCATCTTGAGAATCAGCTACAAAAGCCTTTAATTCGTAATCAACCCCGCACGGCTTGCCTGTATCTCCGGGGGCGGGCTGTAGGGTGACCGAGGCGGGGCAGTGTGGGGGCAGTTCGAAGTAGAATGGATGTGCCGCCGGTCCGAGCTTGCGAACTAGACGCTCCTGGAGTCTAGTTAGCGGTCGCTTTGGAGTGCTCGTCGGTGGGTATATCTGAAATTTAAGGTACATTACATAAAAGGCAACATATTTATTCCTTATGAAACACTAATGATTCCTCTCGAAGACCCACTCTCGAAGTGTGTCCTTAGGTAATTTTACTGATATTGTATGAAATGCTTGAAGTCTTGGAGCAAAAAGTCGCCATATACGCTATAGATCATAAAATATAATCTGTATGCAAAAAATCAGGTCGATGGAACAATGCTTCTTTGCTGCATTCAAAAAAAGGCAAACCAATATACCAACAAACACATTTTCGCATTCATTATAACATTATATGGTAGGCTATATGGTAGACCCCGCTTATCCCGCATTCATTATTCCAATACTATTTGTAATGCGAAATCTATATTGTGCAGATATAATTCAATTCGTGATATAAGAATCGATCGTCATTGCCGGGCAAAATCCGTAATCAAAATGAAATAATATTAAAGTTCCATTTTTAGTAAAACCGAATTTAAAAAAATGACTTTAATTGTCAAAAATCAAATTTACCTAATAATATAAAAAAATGTTTAATGAAACTCTTTCGTGCAATAAAAGCAATCATACTCGTAGCATAAATAATGTCGATCAATACATTCGATTTTAATCAGTAGATATCTAGCTAATGGCAAACAAACTTTTAAAGCTCGTGAAAAATTTCAGGTCACAGAGATTAATCTGTAATAAAGCATGGAATGAAGCTTGCGTGGTACATTTTGATATCAGTTGTTAACACGAAATGGCATTTAATAGCTTTTGGGCAGCAATGAGTAATAACCATCATTAACATTTAATGGTAGGTACTATATTTATTGTCATAAAAACATTAAAAAATAATGAGGATAAGTACCTAATAGATGTTAAATAGCTTAACAATATTTTACTTTCGAGAAAAATATTCTTTTTCTAGAATGATCTTGAATCATTCTAATAAAGAAAAAAATAAATTGTCATGTCATTTTAATTTTCAGTTACGTCTACTAGATTTAGAATATTTTTTCTTGTATTTTAATAACTTATTCAATTCTGCCAAACCAAGGTAAAAATGTATAAACATACATATATTGTAAAAATATGGCAACTTAAAATATGGGGTTATGCATGCCCCTAGAATAGCAAAGCAAACATGACACCTACCTATACCAACCATAGCGTGTGAACTACGAGGCAAAATATAATATTTAATTTAAACTTGTTTTTGTGCAATATTTGTAAGTAAAAAGTGTTTATTAACAGCTTCGCCCACATAACACATTCCAGCAGTTGAGTTGGTGTTAAATTTCCAAGCATATTTCACTTTGTTTTGTTCAGAGTATGCAGGTTACATGATCATACGTTCTAATAATAAAACTTATATATAATACTCGTATAATTAAATAGTAAAATAAGATTTTTCCTATGAAATAAAGACTATTGGTAATTACTTAGAATAAAGATAATAATACAAAAAAAAACACTCCTAATATTTTCGCGCCAAGGCTGTTTTTTTTCACTTTAATTTCCTATTTGTATCTTCCTACTATGTTAATTAATATGCAAATGAGCCTCTAATTAAAAGAAAAATTGTAGAAAGTATAAAATATTGATAGCAATGGGTAATTTACACTTTATTACCTGTTCAGCTGCAAGGTAGAGATCCTTCCTGAAGGTCAGGCCGAGGACGTCGAGGTCCTCGCGACCGTATCGGAACGCAGCGAGCACATGCCCAAACACCTTCCTGTCCTTCACGTACTCCGGGTCGATTAGCACGACCCCGTCTAGAGTGACACGAGATATTTTAGAGACTGGGGCTTAGACAAAACAACCTATATCTCACTATCGCTAACAAAAACTAAATAGCGTATGAAAATGACATATTAAGGCAATAATCCCTCCACGACCGCGGACACGCCGACGTGTCAGTTAACAATAGATTTCTTATGCCCGATTTCACCAACAACCCATAAGCTACCACCTACGTATGGGATCCCCAGCTTAAAAGTCCCCTAAACTAGCCCCTAAAATAAATTTCACTTTACGATCGTCTTTAAGCCCATATTTCGAGCACCTAAATTTAGGTGGCCTTTTAATATTAAGGTGACCCCTAACTGTCGGTGAAACGGAAACTGTCCCCTAACAGCCCCCTAACCATGCTTAGGGGATCCCTTAAACTTAGGTGACGTTGGTGAAATCGGGCATTAGAATTTTAATTAATTTCTTAGAAATTTACCCGGAGGTGTATTGTAATTAATATTCTTATTAATATCAGATGTTCAAAATACATTTGTGACTATTCTATTATAAGAATTCAGCCCTTTCAAAGGTCCCACTGCTGAGCATGGGCCTCCTTCCAATGTAATCGAGCTCTAGTCCTTCTAATATTCCATCGTTTTTATTAACGAAACTGATATTGTAGAAAAGTCAACTTTTGTGAGGGGGTTTGTTCTTTTTTAATCTAATCATAATCATTTGGACGTTTCGATATAAAAAAATAACAGATATTATTGAACATTGCGGAATTGTTCTCCATACTAGACAAGCTTCCTAAACACACCCAGCAAGAATAATAATAGAAATAATTTTCAAACAATGAAATGAAAATAAAATTGCAAACATCACCACATATATAGGAGGATACTTACCAATCGGGTCTACATGAGTGATATGGTCTACAAAGTCTCTTTTCCCTAAATATACTGTTATCTGCAACAAATACAATCCATATAATAAACATAATATTCAGTTAACTTCCTTCTATAACGAGATATCCAAATATAAATTCTATAAATTATACAAAAATACATTTAGGTTTGTAAAAAGATGACGAGCTCTGAAGCGCGTTTAAACTTTGAAGTGATTAATCTTCTGCACGGAACAACGATCTGATAATATCAACTGCTACATAAAGCTTTTAGCGCTTTTTCTCTTGAATTTATGTAGTTACAATAGGTAAGCGAAATTTTAGTTATTCATGATACATATGAATTATAAATTACTATGGATGTATAACAAAGAACAAAGGTTTATGTAAATTCTGTTAAAATTACATAATAGCAGATACGCTCTCTTATCTCTGCGTATACATATATATCTAATGTTTAGTAAGAAAATAGATCAAGTTATAGCAAGGAAAGGATTCACTTGAACAGATCTCATCTGGCATTATTTGTAATAGATCATGAAAATGTATAGATCAAATTAGGCGTTCTACCTTGCCATTTGGCGAGCTCTTTTTGAATACCCGCGTCGCTTGACGTTGCTTGTTGCTGCCTCCGTCGTCCATTGTGCCGCCGCGCCCACCGCACCACTTGTTGAAAAAGAAAAGTATATTTAAATTACTCTAATTATACTATATTTATATCACTCTAATATTATAATATTTGCGTCAGATCTAATATCGGTAAACAAACCCCCTTGGTACGGTTGTGTAACAAATATAATGTTATCCTTAAATCAATTCCTGGCATTGACATTTTTATGAGTCTCCATCAATTTTTAGAAATAAGTTATATAATTATTATAAAATACATGATTGTTAATGTTAACTATTGTAATTTTTTTTGTTTATCATGATGATTTTAATTTTACTTCATATTATTATGTATTATTATCAATTTCTTTTGTATTATGACATTTATCTATAATTTTTTGTTTATACTTTTAATACATAAATATTTAAATGCTACACTTACACTATAATTGGCATACATATAAGGTATATTATTATTACATTAATTAAATTGAAAATGTTCCATATGTATGTTGTAAGTGTGCTTTTTACAAATAAATAAATAAAAATAAATAAATATTATAAATCCGAAAATAAGTGAGTATGTATATTATAAACCAGTAACAGCTGAACAGATATATGATATAAATTATATATGGATATAACTTTTATTTTAGATTAAAACATTTTTAGATTATCTATGAGCGAGTGAAGCAGCAGGCGAAAACTAGTTTATAATAAAATAAGTAAAACGTGATAATTGTGCAAATATGTGTATCTAATATTTACAATTTACATAAACAGATCACCAAAGCGTTTATTTCTTGCAATTACAAATGCTAATTAGTAATTATGTTAGACTAAACCAATTATAAATTGAATAATATTGAAAGTAGACATTATGTATAAATGGCACGTATCTAAGAGTTACTTTGCGCAATATACTAATAATAATTCATATGTCTTCCTGACAGATTTCAGTCACAGCAGTTTTATCTTCTCACTCTACTAGCCAACTGTTCCTGAGGTATTATAGTGCAAAAGTATATGCGCAAGCTAGTGTGCTAGACAAAATTCAATACAAGCAGCGAGAAATGAGAAAACCCCATTAACTATACTTGATCCGAACTCCGATACCCAGGACCTTTGGATCTACAAAAGTACATGTAAGCCACGATAATCACTTGCTATACCGGGATAAACAGTGAATATATCTTGCATGTAAAAAGGAACGTCATAAAAACACTTTAGTTACTTTTTCGCTCGGTTCCTTGGATTTAAATGAAAATAAATCTAAACACCCTGGATTGGCATATAAGCTTTATGAAAGTTTTATGAACGTTCTTATCACCAAAGCGGAACCGCAGAAATAAAATCTATACATATAATAAAACTGTATCGAATGTCTGTACATAGAAAAAAAATGCTAAAAGCCGAGTTAGCGGGATGTAAGAAGAGAAATAAAACAAATCTAATTTTTTTTTCAACTTTTTTGTTTCTCTATCTGTTTGTCTGTTTGTACGGGCTAATCTCCGAGACTGTTGGACTAATTTAAATTAAATTGCATTGCATGGTGGTACCTTATATCCACGGTCAACATCTTAGATACTTTTAATTCCAGAAAATTAAAGAGTTCCCGTGGGATAGTTAAAAAACTACTGATTGGATTTAAATGAAACTTTACAATAATATAGTTCATACACCAGAATAACAAATAGGCTACTTTTTATCCCCGAAAAATGTACGGTTCCCGTGGGATAGCCGCTAGAAGTATAATATAAATTACAATTTTTTTTGCATACTATGACTAACACAGCACATGCAACTGTATACACGCACTTAAACAGGTCTGATCAATAACTAAAACCTAAATTAGATCGCCAACTTTGTACCCTTAAAAAGTTCGTAGGGTGACGGAATATAGTTTATATGTAACTCCGATCTGACAATAACGGCCTACACAAGTCCTATTGAAGGACAAAGGCGTGTCTAATGGCAGGTGTCGCAATTTATTAGATCTTTTTAGTCTCTAGTTACACCGAAATATTTTTTTGCTTTATAGAAGAAATATGTCTGTAGCATAGGAAATACAACTAGAATACTTAAGATAATATACCTATCTTGATATTCATTGAGTAACAAGTAGGTACATTCTTCGCAGCATATCTCATTAAAAGATTAGCTCGTTATGTTAACAGCCGATTACAGCTTTGTAATGCATGATAATGTACACTATTGATTAGTTACGGTCTAGTTAGCGAAAAAGTACCTACTTATGTGATTCTGTTGCGCTCATCAATCTGGCAAACATTTTCCAAAGACATAATAAATATTAATAATACATAATATATTATCTTACTAGTGACTCACCTTCGCTCCGCTCGGGTTCGTCCCTACTTACGTTTTAATGTTTAGTATAGATTTCTCATAGATAATATATTTCCACAGTAAAAAGTATCACATATGTTGACCAATGACCCGGATAACTAGCTATCATCATATCAAATTTCATCAAAATCCCTCCAGTGGTTTTTCCGTGATGCGGTCATAGACAAATGGACAAAAATTCTAAAAACTATAGATTCGGCCTCTGTATCGATAATAATGTTTATTTCAATATGATTTTCCAAAAAATATTTAATGTACAGATTCGGCTTAGTTACAATTTTATTATATGTATAGATTAATAAAACATTTATAAATAGCTTCCACATTCGAACTTTTATGATCGATCAGTTGCTAAAAAATATACCACTCCTCGCTTTGATCTTCGGCCCTAGAATATTTAGTACATGCATAAAACACGGTAACATGTCGTATCTATTGTTGTGTTGTATTTTAACAATCAGTCTGTTGGGATAATTATCCCGACTGACTGATTGTTAACATACAATATACATTGTTATAACAAAGAAATACACCAGTAAAAAGCCCTTAATAATGATAGAACTATATCCATATTCGTGGCCTAATATAAAAAGCCTAAAGCACACAAACAGACAAATAATACAAGTATATAGTACCAAAAAGTACTATATATGCTATATATACCTAGCTTTTAACAAGAATCAACGAATATTCTTGATTTTGTATATTTTGTATTTGTAAACTTGATAATTAGAATATACTAACAATAGGTTCATACCTACTAAAATAATAAAGAAAATTTCGTTTTTAAAATAATATAAAAAACTAAGAAAACATACCTGTTTTGTAATTACAACCATGTTTTTCACTATCATACAATTTTAATCTGCACATTCACTAAAATCAAGTTAATTAACCACGTTTTGTTATAATAAAGTTAAAATAATAACGCGGTAAAATAATACGATAAATAAATTAACTCCACTAAACGATTACACATTAACTGTATTGCATATTAATCGAATAATTATAATAATAATTATAGTAGAATTTCCGCACATAAATATAGTTAATTGTTATGGCATATTCGGACTGATGCCGTTTCTCAACTGACCGGCAAATAGGATGAACTAAGTAATAAATACTGGCATCAGTTACAACGTATACATAATCGTACCGTAACAACAACACTGGACGTGTCTACATGACGTTCTGGTGAATAATATTCCCCGTATAGTTAGTTAACACTAGGAAATTAAGACAAACGCAAAACAATTATAATATAGGGCTATCGACCACTTAAAGTAATATGTATAAAATCAAAATAAGTAGAAAATATTAATAGAAATTATAGTAAACTAGTGACTCACCCTCGCTTCACTCGGGTTCGTCCCTAGGTTGATTCCCCGTACAAACTTTTATTCCCATTTTCACCCCCTTGAGGGTTGATTTTCAGGATAAAAATTTCTTTCCTTGATTCCTATGTCCTTCCCAGGGTCTCAAACTATCTTCTTACCAAATTTCATCTAAATCGGTTCAGTTGATCCAGAGATTACCCCCTACAACGTCACAAACTCACAATTCACAAACTTTACCTCTTTATTATATTAGTAGGTATAGACGTGCAAAATTTCTTTTCTTTTGTTTCGTTTCTTTTGAGACATCTCAAATAAGCAAATGATGCACATTTTTACATAGAAAGATAATTGATTGAATTCCATTATACTCGTACCTACATATTTGATTTATATTATATAAGAAATATTAATAGTTATGTATGCAGTGGATAGTAAGTACGAATTAACAGGTAATTGAGACCGGACGACGCCTTCTTAATAACGTAAACAGAAGTTAATCGAAAGTATGACAAAGTCAAGTGGATTTATGACGCCAATTGAACTGCCCAACTCATAGTAAAATATTTCACCGAATAGATTTAATGATATTTGAAATTATCAAGTTTTAGTACAGAAAACGAAAAAAAAAACATATTATAGAAGAAACGTTATTGGTTCATACGTACACCATTTAGAAACAATTAACTATTTCATATATTGGGAAAGCTAGTCTATACATATAATAAAATTGTAACTTAGTCGAATCTGTACATTAAATATTTTTTGGAAAATCTAATTGACATAGACATTATTATCGATACAGAGTCCGAATCTATCGTTTTTAGAATTTTTGTCTGTCTATCTGTCTGTCTGTTACCGCATCACGAGAAAACAACTGGACAGATTTTGATGAAATTTGGTATGATGGTAGCTGGTTATCCGAGTCAATATATAGGATAGATTTTACCGCGAGAAAATATCTCATTTTTGAGAAAAAAATACAAAAACTGCATTTTAAGAGTATACTAATATGTAAAACCTAAGAATTTGGTTATTGGTCATCTGAACGCGGGCGGAGACGCGGGCAATGCTAGTAACTTATATATCCCTCTCCGTCTCAAAAATTATCTCTATAAAAACTATTAGCAATTCGTTCTCTCGTATTTTTTTAAGAAAGACAAATCAATAAAACTTTCACATAAATTATGAATTTTACATTTATGCTTGTTGTTTTTAATATTTATTTTAATTATTTAACGAAATAAATACTAGAAATAAGGACAAATTGACAAGGTCGAGCTTTCGTCTTTAAAAGTTTAATAGCTATTTTATAAGGCAAATTGTAAGTATGTACAGTAAAATTCCACAGTCACCATTAATCTAGAACTTAAACAATTAAAATACATTCTTAAGTAAGGCACAAGTATTATTCCGTCACGGAATACTTTGCAGTATATCTGCAATCTATCACATACATATATTAACTTAAATTACAGTTGATACTCACGTAGAATAAGTACAAGATTACTGTAAGACATAGTGAATTTGTTGTTCAATATTGTAAACAAAAACTGACGTTTATTTTAAACTAGCAGAACCCGCGGCTTCGCTCGCGCTAAAACTACAAAAAAAAACTCTAAAAGGTAGGTTACATACAAAATTTCATTCTCTATTTAACCCCATTTAACCCCCTATGGGATGGATTTCGAAAAATGCTAAAACATGTATTTATTTGATTGTATTGAAGAGCAATTATACCAAGTTTCATGTGATTCTGATCATAAATATTTTTTGGGTTATATACGTGTTTTGCCAATAGAATGAGATAATCTCCCGCGCTAAAAAGTAGCCTATGTCACTCTCCAGCCCTCTAACTATGTCCACCCAAAAAATCACTCCAAACCGTCACTCTAATTCGACATGAAAGAAGGACAGACAAACAAACAAACAAACAAACACATTTTCAAAGTTTCAAATTTATAATATTAGTATGGATGGACTTCAAAATTAATTCAAAAATGTTTTTAAACTAGTGGTTCTAAAATAGTAATCTATACATATAACAAAACTGTAAAGGTCGAATGTCTGTACATAGAACTTTTTTTTGCTAAAAACCGAGTCCGACCGACCGGGGATGTAAGAAGAGAAATACATTTTTTTTTGTTTCTGTGCCTCTTTGTCTGTTTGTACGGGCTAATCTCCGAAACTGTTAGACAGATTTAAATAAAATTTTGCATGGTGGTACCTTATATCCCCGGTCATCATTTTAGACACTTTTCATCCCGGAAAATTCGAGAGTTCCCGTGGAATAGTTAAAAAACTATAGTACCTTATACAGGTTAGTACACAACAACTTATGCACCTAATTTAGTAAAATTTGGCATGCTGATACCTTATATTGCAGGTCAAACAACAGGTTACTTTTTATCCCGGAAAAATAAACGGTTCCCGTGGAATAGATCTGATTGTGCTAGTAAATAATAATATTATTGAATTCATTACAATTTACAACTTTAAATGAAATAAGTCGAGAAAAAGCCGGCTCAGTGCCACGTTAAATAAACTTTGAATTTATAATACTTTTACCGTAGTTTTCCACACAGCAAAATTGCTAGCATAATTTTTCTGGGAAGTTCTCAGGACAGTTTTTGCTTTCAGTAGTTAACGTTTGTATTGTAGGTATAATAGAATATTTTTAAAAGCTTTTACTTTCCTGTTAGATAATTTCGAACTAAAACATCCACGACTCGTAGCTATTATTTTAGTGTATTTCATATATTTCTGTGGTTAACATTTTCTATATAACAAGGTAAGAGCGCTGTTATTTCCAGTATATAAAGCCGTTTTAATTCAATTCACGGTAGTTAAATGGTGAGCATTTTAATTCAGTGACTATTATTTTAAGTTTTGTTTGCATCGTTTGTTATTTTTTATCCTCGTTTCAAGCGAGCTGAATATGAATTATGTGTGTTATGATATAATTATATAAAATGATTCGTTAAAATATTTTTACGTACAAATTATATAATATACTTATAAATTTTTAAATTAAATATGTCAGGGCATTAACACACACCACATCTAGTTCCATGGTAAGCTACGAGGCTTGTGTTATGGATACCAAATAGTTGATACATTATACATATATAACATTAAATACGTACATATTATAAATATAAACACCCATGACTGGAGTACAAACATTCGTGCTCATCACACAAATGAAGGCCCCCAGCGGGACTCGAACACGCGACCGCTGGCCCAGCAAGTAGGATCACTACAAACCGAGCCAAACGTGTCGTCAATAATATACATATAATGTAGGTACTTACAATTTCCTCGATGCGGCTCCAGGTTGTGCTTTAACACCTCACGCTACGCCGCGCCGCCCTGAAACAACATGAAAGTTATTTTAAATCAAAGTGTGTTAGATGTACATAAATTACCGTGTTTATAGTATAATTAACGAGAAACCATTTTAACTCTACAGGAACTGCAATTATAAACCATTCGACACCCTCACTATTCGCCAGACCTTGCTCCAGCGGACTACCATTTTTTTCGTGATTTGGACAATTTTCTACGTGATAAAAAGTTTTCTTCTCAGGAGGCAGTACAAAATGCTTTCACACAGTTTGTCCAATCTAGATCACCAGAGTTCTATCGCAAAGGCATAAACGACCTTCTTATTAGATGGCAGCAATGTATAGATAATAATGATAATTATTTTGATTAAATAAACATGTTAAATTAAAAAAACTATTTCATACTTTAAACCCTATTATTTATACGATACTAACGCCACTCAATTGTTTTGCCTTCCCCGAACTTCTCCACTAACACTTAAACTTTATGGTATGGTATTAAAGTTCAAATTGACTTTTAAGTATTATTACGAATCTTTTGTATGGGAATATAGAAAAGTGTTGTTTTTGGACTTTTTCAGGCAATTTTTTAAATTCTCTCCGTAAGAACCACCCTCGTACTTCAAGGAATATTCTAATAAAAGAATTAGCGAAATCGGTTCAGCTGCTCTCGAGATTTGCGCTTAACAACACATTCAGCGATTCATTTTTATATTATAGATAAACATACAAGTTTTTGCACATGGATCCGCTCGCTTAGAATTAATTAATAATAGCTCAGGTAATTCGATAAAAAGTTGCCTACGTGTAATCTAGGTAAAAATTTCAATTTCAAATTTCACTCTAAAAATCAGTTGAGCCGTCATGTTACAGCGTTAAGAACCATGAGTATAACACGCACGCAGTCTGTCAAGAACTAAATGTGAAAAAACGTGCTTAATTTTGATACTCGAGTAAACAATTTTATAGGCTTATTGTAAATACATTATATACAAGCATTCTTATTTCTATATATTATACTAGCCATTCACACTCGAATAGATAGTCGATCCTTGATCTTTGAAAAACAAAAACCAATCTATCTCACGGGAACCGTACATTTTTCCAAGGTAAAAAATAACCTATGTCTTATTTAGTATATTATTAAGATATAATTCTAAAATTAATATATTCAATAACTTATAATCTTTTTTCTAATTTCTAAGAAATCTATTGTTAACTGTAACGATGGCGTGTCCGCGGTCGCGGAGGGAATAATAAAGCTGAAGAGTTCGTTTGTTTTTGTATGTTTTAACGCGTTAATCTCTGGAATTATGAGTCGTACACATAAAAATCTTTTTTGCATTAGATAGTCCACTTTATTAATCAAGGTTATAGCCTATAGGTTGTCTGAAATCAAACTACGACTTTTAGGATCGAAGCAGTTAGTAAAGTAAGCAGCAAATAAATGGACTACGCAAGCCGCGAGAAAAGTGATATAATCCCATTATCACCATTAATATTATAAATGCAAAAGTTTGGATGGATGGATGTTTGTTAGTCTATAACGGCAGGACGGATCTGGATGAAATTTGGCACAGAGATAGATTATAGTCGGAAATAGCACATAGGCTACTTTTTATCCCGGAAAAACTAGCGGTTCCCGTGGGATAGATTTATTTTTGTTCTTCTAGAGGCGAATCCTAGCGAAGCGAGGGTGAGCCGCTAGTGTGTCTATGTTTTGCAAATGTAGATACCTACCTTATATCAAATAATAATAGATAACTGTACTTTTTTTAAACAGTATAAGATAAATAAAATTTTATATGTCAATGCACCTAATGTATCAGGAGGTACTGTTGGCAACAAAAATCTGAATACTAAAGGAACGACGTATTGTGAAGTGACAAATATGAGTTATACAATTCGATACGTTTCGTCACCCGATCATTGCCTACATCCACTTCATGCGATGTAGGCAACAGGGAATGAGATAATGAATTCGCCGGCCGTGCACAAATGGATAGGGTAGCTACACATCTACACATTATACCTACATAATTCAAAGAGATAATGCCGTTTTAATATGAAAATATATTTCATTTATCACATTTGAATATATAGGTTGGTGCATATATATATAAGCAAGTATATAGGGTAAGTTTTTATGTTTACCTAATTTCAGTAGTTATGTTTTCGCCAATGCAATGTTAAAAAATGAGTGTTGAGTCGCGATATTAACTAATATGGTATATAACTGAGTTAGACATTAACAATACAAGACCATAGTCAAATAGAAACATACATATTACATATGTGATATGGCTTGTGCAGGAATAGAACCTACAACTTCAAGTATCTCTATAACTTATATCCACCATAAGGGCGAATAATATTAGCATGATATAATCAACTAACGATCAAGTATATAATATTTTATGAATCCACCCTATTAGAAACGGCTTTGAACCAGAATAAATATGATGAGCAAAAATAATAACTTATATGTAGTTATTTTTGCTATTACAACACAAACATAATAAAGACTTGTATGAAAAGTAATATTATAGACAAGCATTACCAACATTCGATTTGTAGTCAAAGAAACACTTAGCTTCTGCAGGGATCGAACCTACAACTCCGAGTGTCCCATAAACACGTCCTATCTACCACATGGCCGTGACAAAACGTCAGCACTACATTTCTCGATGGTGACAAAATCTATAAATCTAAAAGCTTAGTAATCCCCCAGATAAGATAGAAACCTGGTTACTGTGCCAACAAGATCGACGTAGATCACATCTTGTTTACTTTCCCATTTATATTTCATTCCTCTTTATTGAACATCCGTCGCCATTGACCCTATCCAGATTGGAATTTTCGTTTACGTTTCGTTTCGCCAGGTGAGAAATTCAACAGATAAAACTTGTGACTAGATATTTGTTATACATAGTAAATTTTAAGTACTTAAATGTAAATTACCGCCCGTATGCTCATATTTACCTTCTATTAAGACGTATTTGTTTTCTCCAATACTTACAAGTTAATATATATATATATATATATATATATATATATATATATATATATATATATATATATATATATATATATATTTGAGTAATACTTCTTAAAACGTAAATAAATTAAATGAGTGATGTATCGTCTCTATAACATAGTGTAAAATAGAATTTTCCCGTGTCATATCATACCATATATACCGATCGATTTTACTTGTTTAACCCCTAATCCTGTCGTATTACGAGTAAGTGCGTAGTACCTATAAGCTGAGATTACAACAAACCTATCCTATATCTTCCCCTCAGCTTCGTTCTTTGACATAATTTTTTCTTCTCATGTTCATCGGAAGAGGTTTTAAATTTTAAAATTTACTTACTGGTGGAATAGCTTTAAATTAGATTTAAAATGTATGCTTAAATATTCTGTATTCATAGATACATGTATATATGTAATTATATATATATATATATATATATATATAAACATTTAGGTATCTCCCTATTACACCACATGAAACGTAATAATTATTCTACAAATTATACTATGATTTTCCTAATAAAACATTAGATAAGTATGATTTATGCTTACGCAAAACAACGGAATATTTTATACGCCTAGTTAGAACCTTTCCCGCATAATTACTGATATCAACTAGGACGGAAATATTAATTTAATGTTTTATCCTCTACAGACTAACACATCTAACTAATCAGTCTCAGTTCAAATCCACTTTATTGGAAAGGACTTTGAGCCAGTAAAAACAATGTATGAATAGCAAAAATCATAATTTCTAGTTATTTTTTGACTACATGAAATTCAGTAAAAAATTGTAATAATTTAATGTTGAACAAAATATTTTGTATTAACACTCGTAATCCTTTTTTTTTAATGTTGGAATTTCATTTAAGCATATCGCCTACACACATACAGGTGGTTATGTGGGATTCACCGACTCGTAAAGCCAGTACTACCCACTAAAACCCAACGAAACCTCCCCCCGTCTTTATGGGGCGTCGCAGGATCGCTTACGCACTCAACTACTAATCCCAAATTAACACAATAACTAAACATAATCGGATTGTAATTAATAGACTGCGACTGTCAATACTAGAATGTAACGAAAAATCGTAGTGTAGTCAAATATAGGTATATTATATAATATTATTTATACTTTAATAGCAGGACCCGCGGCTTCGCTCGCGATAAAACTACAAAAAAACTCTAAAAAGGTAGGTTTCTTAAAAACTTTCAGCCCCTATTTTACTCTCTTAGGGAATGAATTTTGAAAAACGCTGAAATACGTAACTCATTATTTTTGTCGTACTCAGTTCGTACGAAATTTCATGCAAATATGTCCAAGGAATAAAAAGTTTCATACAAACTTTTATCCCCTATTTCACCGCCTTGGGGGTTGAATTTTGAAAAATCCTTCCTCAGTGGATGCCTTCGTCATATGAGGAATACGTGTGCGAAATGTCAATTTTCTAGCCCTAAGAGTTTGGCCTGTGCGTTGATACATCAGTCAATCACTTTTGCCTTTTATATATAAGTATAGATAGATTGAAGATTGTTATTACAATATAATAATATTTTAAATGCCGATTAAACCATTCATTCGTAAACTTTTCAACATCAATCTGTACAATATTGCAAGGAAAATATCAATTATTATATTAATATTAATATGAAAAACCATATGAATAAAATAAAGAGCAATTCATATGTAATAATTGCACATTTCAATTTTATTCACATGTATGTATAGACACTAGAACGTATAATTGGTTCACAATATAATTTGAATGATTACGTATATTGTGGTTATGTAAGAGGCTTTGTGTTGAGTTCCATGCCAATTAACAAGAAGGATAATAAGTCTTTTGTGTTTATTTTATTGAATATTTTTTTTTTTACAAAAATAAAAAACCCCACTGCGTAAAGAAAGAACTAAAAAGATGAGAACGAGTTGCCGAAGAAACATAGTACTATGCAATCGGAGACACACAAGTTATAAACTAACTGCGAATTTTACTACGTGTACTACACAGTACATGTAGCAAAGTACGTAGTAGTGTAGGTACATATGTCTCCGACTGCATAATATATTGTACTTACGATACTTTTTACTGCGGGAAAATGATGATGATGATGTTCTCCTAGCCGATTCCGGCTACGGCGGCCAATCTCATTGAGACTAGCCAACTGCGCAGGAGATATTATAGTACACAAGTGTACGCGCAGACACAAGTGCACTCTCTATTCCTGTCACTCTTATACTCCGATGGGACGACTGCTCGACACGACCAGTGAGAGTTAAGGTGCAGGACCGACGGCTTTACGTGCTCTCCGAGGCACGGGGGTGAAACACAGCCAACCTCCCAACTTCGGGCTATTACTGAGGCTTACTATACAGAAATACTCAATAACTAACCTTGGCCCGACCCAGGACTCGAACCTCGAACCTCCGGGCAGCCATACATGACATGACTACACCACCGAGGCAGTTGCGGGAAAATATCTCATTTCTAAGAAATCTATAATAAACATTAAAACGTAACTGGGGACGAACTTAATAAGTAGGATAGTTTAATAAGCAGGTTACAAATTGTATATAACATTCATATTTAAACATAAAGTTGAACAAGTACCAAAGTAAATCACCTACATATATAAAGACTTGAAGCGGAAACACGCATATTATTTAAGTGTCGCCTAAGGAAGTATGGTTGATTGTTAAAAGACAATTAAGGAAAATACTTAGACTGACGAATTAAAGCATATTTCAAATAAAATGTCAAGTCTCGGGGGTATATCTATCAGGGGGATAACAATCAGTCGGCGGGGGCATAGCACCCCTGCGCTGGAAGGGCGGGCGGTATTCGAATACAGAGCAGTATACTTTTCAAAAATTTATATTCCAATATTAATTATACCTATCAATATTAGCGCAAGTTTTTCGTTGATAATATTGTATAGATAATTTTATATATATTATAGTAAAGTTTTTTTTTATTAAATGCGCATGATTTTTTTACCTTTATTCATAAAATTTACACTATAATAGCAATCTAAATAGATACGTCATCTTTACAAAACTACTGCAGAAATAAGAAATTTTTATTTTATTTCTGCTCATGTATATTTAGCTGGCAACATTAGGCAGTACTCGAGCGAGATGAAATGTGGCGGATTCTAATCAATAATATTATACCTACTCTCACCGATCCTTTTGCTTAGACTTTGTTATAAGTATTTTTTGATTTTAAATTATTAGGTATCTACTTTAAATATTACGCCATGTCAGATAATATAAACTATCGCTCTATTTCTAATTAACTTTAAGAACCTATTCGTTAGTTAGTGATTAGTGATTACTTGGTAGAGTCACATTAAAATGGCAATAAAGCTGTGGATTTAATAGATTCGTTCTATAATTAATACATCCTTTACAAGTCACTAACTGAAATAATACGTTGGGAGTCGCCACCCAACAAGCACGAAGAAGAAATGCTGCTCGTTTGGCAACCCATTAATGATCACAGTGTGTATTAGTCCCTCACGGACTGACCGACTCTCCTAAATGATTCAAAAGTCATTGTAAAAGGCTTCCGCTATCTTGTTTATTTGTTGTAAAAAAATTAATAACAACAGATTATGATTTTATATGAATTGATTTAGATTTTAGACTAATTAGAATCCAATAACTCTACAGAGTTACCAACGGACGCTCTTACCGCTCGAACGAATACTAGTATATTAAAACGATAAATAATAGTAGCTAAAATACTCCCTACGTTTATTTGAAGATTTATTTGATCGGATAACTTTTAATAAATAAGATTACGTTTCCCGATCGCGTGCTGATACGTGATACCTACCTATTACGAGAAACTTACGGGCTATTAATTCAATTCTGAAAGTTCAATTCTAAGTATTAAAAAAGCTCTTGTTTAACCGATATCATATTCCAATATAACTCATGCCATTAATATAAAGATAAACTAGCGACTCACCCTCGATCCGCTCCGCGCCGGGTTCGCACCTAGTTACTTAAAAATGGCGGGTGGGGGTAGGAGGGTGAAAAATACTTTACGACCTATTCTCATACCTACCAAATATAGAAAAAAAGTCATTAAAATCAGTCGAGCCGTTTCAGAGGAGTGCGACCACAAACACCGTGACACGAGATATTTATATATTAGATAACTTTACAAAGAGCGTAAGAATTATATCATTATTTTAAAAACATATTACATACATTATCATACATACATATATTATGAACATTGCACATCCTACATCTACATATATTTTGAGAAAAAACGTAGCTTGGTGGTAACACCAGAGCGCGTCGCAAGTGTTTTAAATTTTGATCTTATCTAAAGTGCGTCGCACAAAGCTCCACAAAGCTAGTGTTGTTAGATGTAGAGAGGACTAAAGAACGACGAGTATCGGAGGGGCGTTAACGAGTACCTTGCCGGATAACGCATGTAACACTCCAGTGATTGAGAACGGTATATGAATGCGTAATATTACCATTAGCATGTTATTATCTGCTAGAGATATGTTAGGTTACAGCTTCACTCGTACTGAAAAAAACAAATGTAATAATTATTTTCTAAACCATTATTTTCAATAATACGTTAAAATTACAAATATTTCGACGGTAATTTACTCTTATTTACTTAATTTGGCTATTTATTTTCAGCTAACTATTTCAATCAGTTATGGTTCACTTAGCAATAGATTAAATCAACTTTGTAATTTATTATCTATTAGCGTACGTAGAGATACGTTTTAATGGTTAGT